CCTGTGTACCGTATTTTTTGGACCCCGAGTAGCTCTCACGAACCTGACTCGTCACTGCTAACTTGACGCCTTCTTACGTTTCCGCTTGACTGCAAGAGTCATCTTCAGCATTCATTATCTCGACACTTATTTCTTACCCTCCTCTCCAATTGACTCCTTGATTCGTGGGCTCGTAAGCTAGCTCGTCGATTCGTTGAAAGCCCGGCAACAATCATTTAATCAATCAATCAATCAATAAATGCCTTCTCCATTTAAAAGTCGAACATCCAGCCCGGGAGAGATATAAAATAAAATAGACTAAATAAGCGTGAAATTTCGTATTTGTATTCCACGTTTTCATACTACAGCTTTAGTACATACAAATTCACCAAAAAAACGCTCATTCAGTCTTAACAATTTGATATCTCAATTCTTTTTCATATTTCCAAATCCATAATACATTTAATCCATATATCCAATGTATACCTAGTATAATGATCCCATGATTGATTCCAAACAAAACGATTGACAATGCCTCTTTAATAGCTTCTAAGGAAAAGTTGGGGGTATAACATTGCAGATTGCAGATGACAACAAAACCAGACCAGAAGAGCCAGTACAAAGTAAAAATAGAAATAAAAACAAGCAAACAAAAAATGATTTTTATCGCTCCCAAAAAAAAACAAGACTCGCTGTAGCCTAATAAATAAAAGTGCCTGAAAGAGTGTAGAGAAATGAAGTAGATGTCCATATACATAAAAACCGAAAAATAACTTTCTCCAGCCAAAACAATAAACCTAACCAAAACCCCAATAAATAGATGCGATGAGTGGCAGCTCTAATTTTAACTCCTTCCTTATTCCAGAGACCTGAATATGATGATGGTGATGAGTGTGACGATGAAATTATGAGATGACCCGGTACCCGATATTCTTACAATTCATTCTTTCTTTCTCATAGCCTATTCGTCTCGTCTGATCTCGTCTTATCTTGTCTGATCGCATATAATATCCAATTCAAGTAAATGATGAAGAAGAGCAGCCCCCAAATAAATCAAACCCACGCCTAGTGTTGCACAGCCCCTGAAAATGAAACGCGCCTCTGCGTCGAAAAGAAAGAAAACCCCAATACAGCAATGCTAGCTTAAGAATTTCTTCTCTGCTTACATTTCTCATGTGCCATATGGCCATTTCTAGCAGTGGTTCTTGTGAACTCGGCGCCGCAATTGGGGCATGAAGATTTGCTTGCTACGCCCGATTTTTCACGTTGGTGGCGTAAAAGGTTGGAGAAGGTACTGAATTGACGACCATTGCAGCCATGGTCCCAACACTGGGGCTTGGGTCGCGATTGCACGACACGAACGTGATCGCGAGGTTCGAGGGGTGAGGGTTGAGATATCGAGGAGAGGGGAGTCAAAGGAGAAAGCGAGTGTGTGTGTGGTACATAGATGCTGCCGAGGCTAGATTGGTCGGAGGCCGATGAAAGGGAGTGTGGTCTAGGACTAGGAATTACTAATTAGATGATTTGAATTGAAAATTTATTTTTGTGGAAAATACATACGCGTAGGAAGGAAGGGTGCCCTCGGGGCCTCCCATTGAGTATGGTGCTGAATACGCTGAGATTGGTGTATAGTCATTTGGACCCATTGTGAAAACTGGCCCATACATATCTGAAGATGTAGTATCAGTCACAGATACTTGTGGCGAGTATGGTGCGAGGTAAGATGGACTGGGGAGGCCATGATTAGAAGGACCTTGTGATAAGAGTGGAGTTGGAGCAAGCGAATTAGGGTTTGAATAGTGATCTGGGAGAGTTCGTGGTAACATGTCTGGTGTTGTTCTGTTTGATGCGTATGGGTTGCTCAAAGATCTCTCCCTTCTTTGTCTCGTCTTCGTTTCTCTCCTTGCATGGTCGCGCTGACGCTTCAGTTCCCTCTGTTCAGTCGTGAGACTTGCTCGTGGTGGACTATCTGAAATGGCTCGTGCGTATATTGGTGTTGGCTTAAGCTCGTTATATGGTGATAGTTGCCCAGGACTCATATGTGGGCTCATATGTGGGCTCAAATCATGTTGTTGGATGAATTGTTCGTTCATCTCGAATTCTGCTCTAGTTAGTCCTAATACTTTCGAGGAGATCTTTGAATACATACGAGGCCAAGTGTATGATGGTCGTGCACCGGCATCAAACCGTGGGTCATAGTGCTGAATACCAAGAGTAGACATAGTTGGTGGAAGTGAATTTGAATGAATGGGAAGTTTATATTCAAGATGTTCAATACCAGGAAACGTTTGCCCTGGATGGATGCTTAGTTCAAGTGAGTTGCCTGATTGAGCTTCTGAATTCGTGATACAGGACCAGTCTGTGTCAAGTTCACTCTTATTGAGGATCGGAAATGGTGTGTATTGCTGAGGGGCTGGTGACGATAGACCAGTAGCGGTTGAAGATTCTGATTTTTGTTGAAGGAATGTGGGTATCGGTGAAGTAATGAGTGTGGTAGCTGTTGTAGCTGAGGCTGCTGTTGCTGAGTCTGGTGAAGATATACCAACTTGATGATTTGAAGAAGTGGCGGGGTCAGTCTCAATAAGAAGACCTTGAAATTGCGTTGTAGTTGATGACAGGTGACTGTCTGTTCGGGACCTGAACTGACGTGAGTCTCTGTGCTCCACATACGATGAATCCATCTGTGCAGGGGATAAGAAGGCTGTGACTAGTAATGGCGGCACATACAGATAGCTTTAAAGAGATGAGACACTCGAAATAGACTGACGTTACGTTCGGATCTGGGGAGATTATAAACTCGGCTTTGGTGAGGAATAATAGACGTTGTGATGTACCTATTTTGGTTCTGTTCGAGGGATTCCAGGAGGCACTTAAATCAAGGTCTTCGCCCCAAGTTGTCCAAGGGGAGTAAGGCTCTAAAGTACCTAAAGCATGTAAGTGGAAGGCGCTCTAGCGCTGCTTCCGTCAGCATGTGATTGGTCAGATTGGGGATATGTTCAAAGGATTCTGAACCCTGTCATACATGGTTGCCCCTCGACCTGAGAGCTACTTGTGTGAAGAGATGGGGGAAAACAAAACAGGCGCCAGAGCGACACACCCGCACTTTGGGTTCATCTGGGCACGTCAACGTTTGGAAAAATTAGCGCGACCGTAGGGCTTTTTAAGGAAAGGACGAGGCACACCATAAAAAAGTTAAACCAGGAGCATAGGAGATTTTCCCCTCTCAATCATGGGCTACGCCGCTCATCACGGACCCCATTGAGACCATTCAAGGGACCCATAATATGTGAACTAGCCAGATTTAATTAATGGTAATTCTAATTGAACAACCATCCAGCGTCTGAGTGATTTTTTCTTGGTGCATTGAAGTGGGATCTGTGATGAAGCAACTTTCGGTAATAAAAAAACTGGGTAAACGTAAAATGTCCGCCTAGATTCTAATTTGATTGTCGTTACTTTGAGGTTACCATCTGAATGGCATGCTGAAGAGACATTCCCAAACTTGCGGGTAATTTGTAACACAAATTATTTAGCCTAATTCGTGATAGATCTGACAGTTTGTTGTCGTGTAGTAGTATTAGCAGACCAGCACCATGGTTAACGTTTTATAAGCTAGCCTTGAAAAGACCAGAAATATGCGAGCAATTATTCTCCATTGAGTAGTATTTATCAGGCATAGTATATTGTAGCTCTAACGAAGGAAGTGAAATTTGACCAACGTAAAGAGCTATTGCGCGCGCTTACACAGCATATCGATGCTCCGATATCATTTCATATACCGTCAATGACATCTTGTAATGAACCGCAAGCTTGAAGATTTAGAAGAGGCTTGCCTTGTACTGCGACCAGTCAAAACAATAATCTTAGTGTAGGCAGGCAAGAAAAGGGATCAAAAGAAAGCTTCATAATGGTGCGTGCCCAAATGACGGGTACAGACTAAAACTACCAACAATAGTAAGTTGCAGATCAACCGCATAGAAAATTGGATGGTAACCTTACAATCACTAAGTTCCGATAGATGGAAACAACTTTTTGGTTCTTTAGTTGCTTTACCCCTTGATCCCTACTCCATCTCAATTATCCCTACCATCTCAACTTTCTCCAGCCAGACCCACGTTTTTTGAGTGAAATAGCCAGGGGTCATGAGCATGGCACCGCTGCTGCATCAGTCTGATAAACACAAGCATGTCTAACTAGTCACTATTGTCTCCATATAAAATGTACTTTAAATTTCAATCTTGACAAGAGAACAATTAAGAAAGTAGACTATACCTGATTGAAATCTGCGGCATCTCCATACCAACATGTTAGGCGCGCTAAAAATAACGATCTCTTTCATTTCAAGCTTGTCCCCCCTTCCCCCCATCTCTCAGGCAATGAACTTTTCTCATTTCAATACCTAGGTAGCCGAGGCTCTCAAGCGGCAAATTCATTTCATACCTAGGTAGTGTCTTATTTCTGTTTGCATCACCATTATCGTATATCTATTTTCTCTGCGCGGGATGTCATGTTTTGATGAAGAACACGAGCAAAATACAGTCAGTACTTCGCTGACGTAGCACTGTTTGGTAGTTTCTGTGTAATTTAGATATTATAAAAATGGTATGTGTAATCTTAATCTTGTAAGATATTCATTTCTGATTTCAGCAGCCCAGCGCAGCCTCGCTGAGAATATCTTTTCTGTAATTTTGGCTTGATTAAATTTCCATCAGAGGTAGCATAGATTGTTGATTTGTTGAACACGCGAAGAACTTCATATTCACCGCGTTACAGGTTCGCTTAGCAATGGTAGGGGTTGGCAAAATCTACAACGCTATTATGTATCAGTATTAGTTTATGTGACATACTCGCGGGGCTAATATCCAAAATCTCGTTGCCTTGTGGAAAAGATCTATACTTGGTAATATGTGGATTTCATGAGTTCCACTTTCACTGAATAATACAACATCTATAATATCATACTCAACGTTCGCACTACCTTTCGGTGGGTCGTGTCGTGCGATCGTAAGAGCTACCAAATCATGCCCATCTTAAATCTCACATCGCTCACAGGCTTATTACCAGCCCTCCTTTCTACCAATCATCGTTCGGCGAGGTGATTATCCAATGCGAATTCCGACGAGTATCACCTGCATATGGCTGCAGTATTGTAATTTAGAATCTTTGAAGCGATACGGCAATATGGAGCAAAGTTCATGGTCTAATCATTATCATCACACTTGGAACCTGTCACCATGATTACATTCATACAGTATGTGGAATTTGAAACATAGTTCTCAGAGGCAGTGTCGGTGAATACTCGAAGGTGGGAGAATTTCTCAAAATAGAACCAACAGAACACGAACCCGAGATCCGGAATCGAGGAATCCCATTCTTGAATTTAATTGTCCGTCGCTGGAAATGCGGCATTGTACTTTCTAGCCTCGACTCACCGCGGCTCTGTACAATCAACTATTGTCGACTCTTCAAGAAGGAAAGAGGCTCAAAGGATCATTTAAGATATTACTGATGATTTCAAACTTCACCACATTTCCATTTTCGATTGTTTCAAGATCCAAATTTGGAAGGTACTAGTTCATTGTAATCACTATACTACTATCTTGGGTATATACGGAAGATACGATATGGATTTGGACACCGTGTTTGTCCCGCCCGTCCAACAATGCTCTACGCAGTACATGGTAAATTATGGAAAAAGAGGCATTACGCCACCTTGACCTAGAGATCTCATCAAATCTACATGCTGAACCAACCTACCGCACGGCTCACAAATCACCCGCTGTCCCCCCCCAATGCATCATCACGAATCCCATCACGAACATCATCACCAAAACAAGTTCTTTCACTCAATGGTTCAAGACGGGATATCCCGTGGTCGTTTCGATTTCATCATGACACTTAAAATAAACACAAAACAACAACACCACTTCCTGACCTGGCTAGTACCTGCAGCCCTGGCCTGTTCAAACCCGCATACCTGCAGCTAGCCAAGATAGAACACTTCCAGAATCCCCCCTCCCCCCCATGATTATCTCATTTCGATTTTCGCGATTAGTTCCAATTTGCTCGTTGGCAGCGTCGCATTCTCACATTCTAAGTGCTTACCTGCTTTAACTGCTTGTAACCTCGTCATGTGGGCGAATATACTCGAGTACGTGTACCTCTTCGAGTGTGATTGTATGAGGAATACCTTGTCCTTAGGTATCTTAGAACTGTGCAAACGAGCAACTGCTGAATGGTTAATGCTGGTTTCTAAAAAAGGCAATATTCAAATTGCTTGACCAGCTTTCCGACCTCTGCTTATGTGATGATGGTTGTATGTTCCACCGCCATACATTCTGACATTACATCGTCTCTAGAATGTCTCAAAAACACTACAAGAAAAGTATCATTCATTTCATCCAAGTAATTAGTCAGGTAAGAATAGTACACGCCGTCAGAAGGGCAAATTACTATTATGCCCGACCATATCGATCACGGCACCTTTCACGTACAAAATCAAACAAGTTTACGAACATAACCTCAGCAAATTCAACAACGATTTCAATAGCGCGAGTTTGATGTGATAGTAGCGTAACAGCGAAAGCAACCCCCGAAAACTCGCAAAAATACCAAATCGGCATTGTTTTCAATAATTGATTAATCAAAGTGTTCCATCAACCTCATATCTATATCATCATATCTCACTCTTTCCAATCGCTTTTTTTCCGTCTTAAGTCATTCCGGGGCCCAGGAGATCTCACAATCTCAATCTTCCGGGCCTAGTTCCATTCCCAGCACATGCCAGACGAAATATCCTTCCTATCTTGGAGATCAACGAGATAAGCTGGTTCAATATCTTCAAAACCATGTGGCATATGTAAACCAACAGACCTTATTTGATCAACATCCCCATTTCCAACGGAACAAAGTATCCACACACACATCTTTGCACCCTTCTCGAAGCGAGCAGAGAACATATCCATGCTGGTACAGGGCGCCTACATCGAGTATAGTGTGCGATGGGTCTCAGCTGAGCAGTCTTACTGGGTATTGTATATGTAATGCTTCATGTACACTGCAAGTGTGCGGCGGGGAATTGTCTGAAACGATCAAGGAACCCTTGGAAATGTAGCAATCACAAGGGAACGTTCTACGAGACTCGAAGCAACAAACCGGGATTCCCGGATTGTTTGATATCAACGTTGAAGCAGCATCTCTACGATAACAGAGCTCAATCGGTAATTTTGATCTCAGATCGTTATGATCGCTCGCACCACGAGCTTCGCAATTGTTCCCCGTTCCCGAAGGTAGGATGCAATGAGGATTCGGGACAGGCCGTAAGGTGGCCATAATGGCTTATCTATTTCCCCTCGGTCCTATCAGTCGAAACGGCGCTTCCACTACACAATCTCAAGGCAATGCAGCCAATCTGAAGAATCAATTATATCATCGTACTCGTGCATCTATTTGCAACAACTTTCCTGCCTCCTAACAAACTACACAGCCAATATACGAGTTCCAATGAACGAGCAGCTTCGTAAGCCAACCTTCACTGCAAACACTTTACGAAGTGCAACACCATACAAGGTACCTAGTGTGTCATAAATGATCTACCTAGAGGGGTTGATGTTGTGTTGGTTTGATCGCCAAAAGGTGGGGATCCAAAGGCCCTGGTGGGTGGGCTAAGCCATGAGGTTTCTTAAAATAGTTTTATATCTCTGCGAACTTGTAAACCCCTTGAAAGGCGCTTCAGTCGCAATTGGAATCTGAAAGCAATCTCTCGAGTCGCCAATAAGCTGGAAGGTTAATTCTCGACTCTCGAGTCCACGGAGATAACCTAAGCACGGGGGAATTTCCTTCCGATCCGCATAATCAGATGGTTGCGGGTAATTCATGACTGACCATAGCTGCAGGAAAGAGCCTATGATGCTGTCGCCATACTTCCATCAAAATATGCATCGCCCTTGAATTTTGTTTTCTTGAGAAAAGAAAAGAGGAAATTATCCAAGCAAAGTCATTTAAATACTTTTATACCTCTTGGTTTAATCTTCAAGGGCGAAGAAATCAAGAGCAGAGACATGTGCATTTGATTCGTCTCGATCAAAAGCATTGGCTGTACACTCCTGGGTATTCAAGTAGGTAGGTACTAGGTATGTGGTCGCACTTTCATCATACGTTGTTTTGGCATGAACAAAAACTGTCAAGCACGATGCAGGGTAACTGTAACTCGGTGAGTGGCCTGGCAATGGTGGCAGTTGATGGAAGCCTCATTTTTACATCTTCTTAACCTCATCTCCACATCCTCTTAACCCTAAGAAACTTCTCAGCACACTCGACTTATTCACAATCTCTGGGATTGTTTCATACATTGAAAAGCTGCAAATGACAAGATGGCATCTTTAACCCCGCCCGAGATAAGTGAGACGATCAAGGACTCTGCATATTCGAATACTTCAAACGGCCAAGAAGAGCATATGGAAGCTTCTTATCGTCCCTACGTTGAAAGCGGACTCAGAGGCATTATCGCTTCACCTTACGTTGCTGGGGCTGCCGTTTTGAGCACAGTTGGCGGACTTCTATTCGGTACGGATACAATCTGGCCCTTTAACTGTTGGCTTTTGTTAAAACCAATTACGATATTTGAAAGTTTTAACTTATTTAAATATCCCAACCTATTTCGAATGTGCCAACTTGTTTGAATGTCTCAACTTATCTGAATGTTCTAACTTCATCCAGGGTATGACCAAGGCGTAGTCTCTGTCGTTCTTGTCATGGAAAGCTTCGTTCTGGATTTTCCTCGTATAGGCCCCCATTCTAGCGGCTTTTGGAAGGGCATTTTGACGGCTATGATCGAACTTGGGGCATTTTTTGGTGCCTTGAACCAGGGCTGGATTGCCGACAAATATTCGAGGAAATACTCTATAATAATCGCTGTGGTCATATTCCTCTTAGGAAGCGTTTTACAAACTGCGACTGTCAACTTCAACATGCTTATTGTTGCTAGACTCGTGGGGGCATTGGTATTGGGATGCTCTCAATGGTTACGCCCATATATATCTCGGAGATAGCACCACCGGAAATTCGTGGCGCCTTACTCGTCCTGGGCAAGTGGTTTCAATTGTCCCAGTACAATTCACACAATCAAAGTGCTAACTAGTCATGCAGAGGAGCTTTCGATTGTTGTAGGCATCGTCGTCGCTTTCTGGATATCCTTCGGCACAAGATATCTAGGTGGCGAGTGGGGCTGGCGCCTCCCTTTCTTTATACAAATCGTTCCTGCCTTATTCTTGGGAGCTGGGGTGTACTTCCTTCCATTTTCGCCAAGATGGCTTTCTTTCAAAGGACATGATGAGGAGGCTCTGAATGTCCTATCGAAGCTGAGACAATTGCCCGATACCGATTCAAGGATTCAGGAAGAAGCACGTCACATACGCAACGAAGTGTCGCACATTCGACAAATTCACCTGCAGAAACATGAAAATCTTATGAACTCACCCATGAAGTTCGAAGTAGCTTTGTGGGGAGATTGCTTTGCGTCGGATTCTATCAAACGCACGCACGTTGGTATACTTATCATGTTCTTCCAACAATTCGTCGGTATAAATGCCCTAATTTACTATTCTCCCACTCTGTTTTCTAGAATGGGCTTGGGTTCAGAGATGCAACTTATCATGTCGGGCGTTCTAAATATTTGCCAGTAAGTCCTTGCCTACTTTCCTTGCCTGCTGAATGTTCGTATTGTTTTGGAACAATGGATCACCCCCTGAAGCTAGTATGCTAACCGAGCATAGGCTCGTTGGTGTAGGCTCTAGTCTCTTTACGATGGATCGATATGGAAGAAGGCCCTTATTGATGATAGGCTCGTTTTTTATGACTATTAGCCATGTTATGATAGCTGTCATGGTCTGCCTGTTTTCTTATGACTGGCATACCCACCAAGCAGCTGCCTGGGTCAGTGTAGCATTTCTCCTCTTCTATATGGTGATTTTTGGAGCATCCTGGGGCCCTGTTCCTTGGGCAATGCCATCAGAGATCTTCCGAAGCGATCTTCGTGCAAAAGGCGTCGCTCTAAGCACCTGCTCCAATTGGCTGTAAGTCTGACTAGCGAAGGTAGCCCTCTAGGCGACTTTCATTTACTGAATCAATTAGGAATAATTTCATCATTGGTCTGATTACTCCGCCGCTAGTAATATATACTAATTGGGGAGCATACGTTTTCTTCGCTGTTTTTTGTGCGTTGTCTGGTGTATGGACATGGTTCTACGTGCCAGAGACTAAGGGATGCAAGCTGGAAGATATGGATGACCTCTTCGATTGATTGATTGAATGTCTGAATATTAATTAAACAATGGGGAGGGTGCGTAGGGGGGGGGGGTATGCTAAACCGTTGGGCAAATAAAATTGGGCCTTGAAAATAGCTTTAGAATTCAAACAATGAAAAATAATTTTGTTGGTACTGATCAGGCAATGACTGTGATCTGAGAGCGATTTTGAGATTGTATGAATAGAACATGAACAATTAGAATATTGGCTTAGAGGAGATGTTAAAGTGTGCAAAGTTCCATCAAATGATGGCTTACCGGTATCTGGAAAGCATTTTCTTGATTCATTTTTTCATGAAGAAAAACCAACAGCCAGAAGGGTTGATATGCTGAGTCGCTGACTAGAGGTGGACATGATGGCTTGCCAGTGTCTGAAAAGAAGCTTCATGCCAATCAAAGCTGTCTAATTGCTATAGCTAGATCAAGAACAATTAGATGTTGGGTTGTGTGGCTAGCTATGCTAAGGGAACCTGAATCCAAAAATGGTATCTTCTAATCCAGAGTTAACTTGAAGCTTTTAAATCATCGGTATCAGAATTCAAAAGGCACCCGGGATGACTTCGAAGCAATCGGATCTTAGAACAAATCGTACTGAATTGAACTTAATACTCGGTAGGCGAGGTTGACATTCTATCATTTCGCTGTGATTGGCCTATATTTCAGGTCTGTGCACCAACCAAAAAACCACTCTACGCGTTTTCTCGAGACCGCGTCGCAGCCCTTCCATCTCAAAAAGTCAAACAATCAACTTTGCAATCCAGAATATTCCTTCCACAAACAACGCTCTCTAAACAACTTCACCATAAGCTTTTAATACTCATCTCTTTGCATTTACAGACTTCATTACCGTCAAGAGTATGTTATTATCCTAGTATATTTCACCCTCAAACATTGCAATACTGACTAAGTCCTAGTGTTAGAAGCCCGCCTCGAACAAGCAGACCTCCTCAAGAAGGTAAGAGAAAAGAATCTCTAACCTCCTCTCTTGTGCTGATGTATAATTTAGGTTGTCGATGCCATCAAAGATCTCGTTCAAGACTGCAACTTCGACTGCAATGATTCAGGAATCGCGCTCCAAGCTATGGACAACTCGCACGTTGCGCTCGTATCGATGATGCTGAAGGCTGAAGGATTTTCTCCTTACCGATGTGACCGCAATGTCGCCCTCGGTGTCAATCTCACTTCTCTCACAAAGGTTCTGCGAGCTGCCCAAAACGAGGATATTCTCACCATCAAGGCCGAGGATGCACCAGATGTTTTGAACTTAGTATTCGAGAGCAGTGAGAGCGATCGATTGAGCGAATATGATTTAAAGTTGATGGATATCGATCAAGAACATTTGGGTATCCCTGATACAGAATATGCGGCAGTCATCAATATGCCAAGTTCGGAGTTCAAGAGAATCTGTGTCGATCTTATGGCTTTGTCCGAGTCTGGTATGTCTCATTGTCCCCGTTTCTCTCTCTCCCCTCCCAGATGAGAGGTTGTACTAATCCTTTGCCAAATAGTGTCGATTGAGGCTTCAAAGGATGGTGTTAAGTTCTCCTGTGCTGGAGACATTGGCAATGGTGCTGTCACCCTGCGCAGCCATAGCAATATCGACAAGCCAGATCTTAACGTCGATATTGAGCTTACCGAGCCGGTCTCCTTGACCTTCTCCCTCAAATACTTGGTCAACTTCTGCAAGGCTGCTGGTTTGTCTAAGTCTGTTAAACTTTGCTTGTCTAATGAGGTTCCTCTCTTGGTGGAATACCAGCTTGCCGGAAGCAGTTACTTGAGATTTTACTTGGCACCAAAGGTACGTTTACATGTATCACCTAATATTCAGATCTAGAGAAGCTAACATTTTATTCCAGATTGGTGATGACGAGTAGGTATGGTTGTCGAAAAGGATTAATGAACAATGATATCAAAGTTTACAGCATATTCAATATGGCGCGTGGGTTGGTTTATGGATATGGACAATGGTCGTGGTAAATTGTGCCATGAATGGTTTTGTTGCTCAGTACATGGTATGCGATGAAGCAATTCGTTGATTTTTCTCAATAGAATCTGTTCAAAAACAATAATAAGATACATTCGGAGAACAATTTTTCTTGGAATATTTTTGACATCTGCTATTTGCACACATAAATTTGCTGGTCTTCATGCATGTCCCTGGATTGAGGATAGCGCGGGGCAAACCTGATGCCCCACTACCCATATCGTCAGCATGAAATCTAGAGCAAGATAAGATTAATGTTTTCCCTTCATTGAGAAGCAAAACGTTCTTGAGCAATGAACTTTTAGCTTACAAACTTTGTATCTGAAGTTCTTCTGTTGTCTTTGAGATACTTGGATATTGCAATTGAAACTCTCCCTCGCCAATCTTTTCTAGCGATTCCGGCGCATTTCGATCTGATATCTCAGATCCACTCCTCTCTTCTTCACGAAGTAACATCTCCGCCAAATAAGCAAGATGTCTGAAGATTTCCCCGTACCAGATACACGAGTTCTTGCTGTTGCCAGTCATGTAGGAAGGCCACCCTTACGCGACTTTTGCTGAACTAACGTTATCTGCTCAAGGTTGTTTACGGGTGAGTCCCATGAGTCACAAATTCTTTCTACATTGTGTATGCAAGTCGACTAAACCATATGATGTTACTAAAGATATGTCGGAAATACTATGGCCACGTTCGTTATGCAATCTCTAGGATGCGAAGTCGCTGCTCTGAATACAGTACAATTCAGTATGTTAGCCTGAATACATGCTCCATCGCAAATCGACGCGGAGACCAGATGAACTTAAGGCTGACAGGTGTATGAAAAGGCAATCATCTAGGCTATGGACAAGCTAAAGGCACACGCGCTACCGCGACCGAAATATCGGACCTCTATCAAGGACTCAAGAACTCATACCTCGACGATTTCAATATGATGCTCTCGGGCTATCTGCCTGGAGCCGCATCTGTAGAAGCCGTTGGCACAATAGCACGCGATCTGAAATTAAAAACTACAATGAAACCGGGAAGCTTCTTCTGGGTTTTGGATCCGGTTATGGGGGATAACGGGAAACTATATGTAGCGGAGGATGTGGTGCCAGCTTACAAAGCATTGATCAAAGATGCGGATCTGATTCTACCAAATCAATTTGAGGTTGAGTAGGGCACCCATATTTTTGTTCCTAAGAGAGTTTGAATTCCGGAAGAGATGAAGTGCAAATTAGCTGACTCTCGTAGGACACTATCTGGTGTCAAAATTCAGGATATGGATACACTTAAATTGGCCATAACGACATTACACGAAGTATATAAAATCCCACATATAATGGTTACTTCCATTTCACTTCCATCTCCCGGTGCGGAACCCCATCTTTCGGTCGTAGGCTCGACTATGACATCGACAGCCGAACCAAGAATCTTCAGCATCAAAATACCAGCGATTGATTGTTTCTTTAGTGGAACTGGAGATATGTTTGCAGCGCTCATGTTGGTGAGATTCAAAGAGGCAGTGTGTAATGTGGAAGGACTATTGGAGAAAGATGCGTGGATTAGTGATGATGAGGTTGAGGCTACGGAATTACCGCTTGCGAGAGCGACGGAAAAGGTTTTGGCTAGTATGCATGAAGTGCTTGCGAAGACAAAGATCGCGAGAGATGAGGAGATTGAGAAGTGGAAGAATGTTGTCGGTGGAAGGGCAAAGGATGAGGATTCTAAGAGAGAGGGATTGGTCAGGTCGAAGGCGGCTGAGGTGAGACTGGTTAGGAATGTGCACTTTCTGAAGAATCCAGTAGTGAGATTTAGAGCAGAAAGCGTATAGACCCGGGGGGCTACAGTTTAGATATCCTGAATACATAGATGCATCATAATAGACAGCGATAGATTTCTTCATTTTGTCTATTCCTTCCCGAGCCACAGTCTCCCTTCCTTAAAGTGTGCACAGCACGGTATATTTAACTCTCTCCACTAATCCAAATTACCCTCGAAACTTCATCTCTTCTTCCCTTCCTCACAATCTAACCTGTGCTTCCGAAGCCGCCTTCACCCCTCACACTCTCCTCCAAAACCAAAACCTCTGTAACCTCTGGTGTATAAATCCTCTCCAAAATCAATTGTGCTACACGATCACCCTCCTTTACTTCAAAATCCTTTTCGCCATGGTTAAAAAGGAGTACCTTTACTTGGCCTCGATAATCAGCATCGATTACGCCAGCGCCAGTATCGATCATGTGTTTGGAGGCAAGTCCAGAGCGTGGGGCTATACGGCCATCTGCACAGAGTGTTAGTTAAATAAAGATACTTGATTAAGGCAAAGTGATACAACGAAGAGAGGGTGGAATAAATAGGAGGATGAACGGGGGACAAAAACATACAAGTTCCATCTGGCACAGCCATACTAATATCAGTATCCACCAAAACCTTTCCCTTAGCAGGCACGACCGTTTCTTTTGCAGCGTAGATATCGTATCCAGCAGCGAAAGCGCTACCTCGTGTAGGGAGACGGGCGCGGGGTGAAAGTTTCTTAATGAGAAGAGGGGGAGGGGTTGATGATTTTAGGGGTGTGGGGGCTGGGGCTGAACCGTTTGTTGCAGGTGCTGGAGTTGTGGTGGGCGCGGTGCTTGGAGTGGAAGACATGATTTCTTGGAGGGAAGAGGTGGCAGCGGCTGCGGGGGTGGATTTTGACGGAGAGCTCGAGGACGAAGTCTTTTGACGTTTGGGAAGTGGTGAGGTTGGAGAATTGGGTGGAAGTGTGGACATTGAGATGGGAAGATGGGAGGGAAATTTGTTAAAGAGGGTATAGTTGAAATTGAGTGAGCGAGTGTGATTGAAGATTAAAGTTCGGATTTGGCGTTGGTTTTGGAAGGCTGCGGAAGCAAAGTTTCGGTGAGTGGAAAAAGAAAAATATGGGGAGACGCGACGCGAGACGTGTTGGGCAGGGATTTTCATTTTTGGTTTCATCATTTTCCATTCTCATTCTCATTTTGGGAGACGATACTTATTGTTAGTACATGGCGGGGTGTGAGATTAGAGCCAATGACAAGCTCACATTCTGCGTACGAGGTGTGTTTATAGTGAGAAAATGATCCAGTTTTATCACTATAGCATCCAGTGGCATTGCCTACCTCATGTCGTCGATGAGGCAAGTACGACCATGCCATCTCGAGGCCTGCTCCCCTCTCATCATTCTATACGAAGGTATCAAGTCTTTTCTTTCTTCCAAAAGACTGAAACTATGACGGTGAATGTAGGTTCGTATGTTCATCGAATGCTCAGACATTCCTTCTTTTGCTGTCTTCCCAAATCTTCAAGGCGAAGAAGATAAGTGAATGGTTGGACTATCAAGCAAGAAGGAGTTCGTTATCTGAAGCAAGTGGCTTCAAGTTTAGGACGAGCACTTGCGTTCCTAAAAGGTATTCAGGCAGCCAGGTCTAGCCAGTAGTTGTGCAAGATGCTCGATGCCTTCCATCATCGCAGGTCTATTGACCTCTCCCTGAGGCTTTCTCGAACCCCCTTTTATCTTTTTCTTCAACCACTGGGTAGCATGCCAGTGCCTTTCATGGCATGGCGTATTCTAGTAAGAACTCTTATAGTTGGGTGTTGTCCACAATGTCCAGTCTGTCACGAAGTGTTGCATTTCAAATGAATTTCCATTTCAATGGCATTATATTACTATCAAATTTTGATAACAAACATTGTTGTATCATTAAGCCACAAACTCCAGTATGCTGCTATTCAAATTCGCTCTCATCAATTCTTCAAGCCCCATGCACTCATGGTGAATTCGTCTCCCTGCCTGTCCCTTTAAGCCCACTCTCTTAAGCTCACCGCGTCGCCCTTCCAGTCCCACTCCCCATCAATATCGTCCTCATCAGGATTCCTAGGAGTAAAACCACCATTCGTTGCCTTCTCCTTCTTTTTCGATTTCTTTAGCTGGGCCTTCATCTCTTTCAAACTTAATTGGCCCATGGCGAATTCCTCAGCCACCCTCTGTCTTGCTTCTTTTGCCTCATTTTTTAATCGGTTCTTCTCGTCTTTCCTCCTTTTCCTTTGTTCTTCTTCTACTAAAAAGTTTCTTACCCCTCTTTCCTTTGCTAATCTGTTCTCGGTCGCCTTCCTTCTTTCATAAAAGGAAAAGGTTAACGATTCATTCGTGGAGACCCTCTGGAGTTGCGGATTCTGAGCGCAAGAAGGTTTGATTCCGTTTTGAAACTTTCGAAGCTTGAAGAACAATTTTTTGGCACCCATGGTTACTGTGTCTTTGAGTTGTTCGGTTTCTTGATTCGCGAATATAGGGGTTATGGTTGATTTTGAGATGTACTATTGTATAGTACTAAATCTTGTGGAATGTTCGTTCAGCACGCAATCAAAGTAAATGTATGTATATTCAACGAAAGAATCAAAAATTCTTGAGGAGAAAATACCTTTAAATACTCAAATGGTATATCGCAAATGACACGTCAAAAAAATCCAAAACCTAAAAGCACGCCGTCGTGAAGCGGACTCGGATCTAGCGCGTTTCACTTTACCAAAGGGGGACTTTCACCCTCCAAGTTTGTTTAGTAGTCATCATGTGATATCAAGTGATCAGCAAAATTCTCATTTTAACTTCGAATGGAGTAAAGGTTAAATTATTGCTTATTCTAACAGACATCATGATACAAACGTCTTGAATCATGGTGAAGAAAAGATTCTGGTTGGTGATATCGGATGGAAACACTGTCATGTCTTGTACCTTGGCAGGTCCAGGCGTAAAGACTGAATCATGAAAAAGTATGCGTTATTATCATTTTATCATTTTTTGTTTGTCGAGATGAAATTCAAACTATGTGATCTATTCTGGACGTCGCAAATTGATCGACTCGGATGATATTCATCTACACTCCCATGACCTTTCTTTCCATTTGCTATCTTTCAAGTTTCTTTCGCCTCGCATCCTCCTCTGCTACTCGTCGGCGCTCTTTGTAACCCGAACGCGTAATCGATACATTCGATGGGGTTCTCTTTAGATGGACATCTTGGAGACAGCGAGGACGCGCTTCGTTATCCGCTTTCCACCATTTGAACACTATTTCCTCGGCACATTGGAACAATCCCATGGTTGCTGGATCTCTGAAACTGAAATCAGCGCGAAGAAGTAGTGTTGGATTGTATTTGGCTGGTTTAAAGAGTGAATCGTTTACGTTGCGATGCTCGTCGTCGTCTGAATGCTTTTTCCGTTCGGGTTCAGATGCCTGTGCTATCGTGTTATTTTCTCTACTCGGGATGTCAGAAGTAGATTGGATAGAAATTTGGCATTCTGCTTGCCTTGAAGAGTGTAGAATATTAAGTACACATTACAATTATTATCGTCTAGATACTATGATATCTGATTACATCATACTATGTAAGAATATCGCCCTGAATTTCAAAATAACACAATCTCGACTCATATAAAATCAAAGATTGAAGTATTTTTTGTAAAGACGGAAGAAGAAGAAGAAGAAGAAGAAGAAGAAGAAGAAGAAGAATCCATACTACCACTCCAACCACAGAAAAGAAAAGAAGATGCAACCCAACCAACCAATATGTATATATATAGTTTTCCCCAAAAGCCCCCATGGTGCGAAATACCAAAAACGTCTCAAAAGTAAAAAATTAGATCGCGCACCAAAAAAATAAAAAATTACTTATTCACACCACACCAACTTCCACACCGACTTCCAAATCCGCTTCAGACTTTCCTCGCGAGCAACTTTCCCCTAGCTCGATACAATCTCGCATGTTGACACAATGACCAGAGAAGTGGAAGCGGTTTCTCCCGCACCTCGCCCCAGAATCCCGCACCAAGCACGTCAACCCTGCATTATTGCGCCATCGTCACCACTGAAGCTTTGGGGGGTTAGGTATCCAAGTATACCTAGCCTGTCAAGAAAAACCCAACAGAGAAATTCGCATCATCGGTACCACATTACCACAAACTAACAAGATCTGGGCTCGAGTAAATTTCCGGCTGTGGGTAAAGATATGACGAGGATGAGATTTCATTACCAAGAGTATATATGTATTGATTCCTAGCTAACGAGAACTTGATATTTCTATATACCCATCTCATCTCATCGTCACACGATGAGGACAGCTCTGTAACAGGTACTTAAGGCATGTATGTATAGCTAAAAGTAGTGGGAGTGTGGGTATGCATGGGTATAGTACTCCTTCAAAGCCAGTGCAGTGCGAATGAAGAGAAAAGAAGACTGCAACAAAAAACAAAGTGCGCAAGGAGCGCGGATGAAAGAAATGTTAAAAAAAAACACTACAAAATATATGCCCATAAAACCTATATGTCCGATAGCCTCTCTCCATAAAGTCCACCCTAATTATGTGCAATAAAATATTGGTATGTAAGAGAGAACTATCTCTTTCCTTCCCTAGCCTTAGCGTGAAAACACATGAAGATGAAAACTCATAACAAAAATCGGGTTGATTAGTCCATTACAATTAGACCTTAATAGACATTTTTCTTGGTCTTTTGAGTTCTTCCGATAATTCCTCCCTAACCATTCGACACCATTTCCAAATTACTTCTTCGAATCCTTCCCATGCATCACGGTCCTCGCTATTTACAACTCCCATGACGTCAAATTTGACATCTGCTTCCCATCTCAACTCAGCGGCCTTGACCCAGAATCGAAGGTTCTCGGCTGATCGATATGGCTTGTTAAATTCAGTATGAAACGTAGATATTGCTCCAAACGGTCTTTTGCTTTTCTTGACTGCTGCATTATGAAGCTTCACTAATCTTAGGCCAGTTTTCATTTCCGCCAGAAATGGTGTAGGAAGTAGACTGTCATCTTTCACGTCGTCCACTAATGATAGTGGCGGCAGGGTATCGGGTTCCGGATCCATGGATTTTAAGAATGCATACTCTCTTTCGATCTCCTTTCCTGCCCAACCATCGGCATGAAGCCACGTCCAGCTCGCTATTAATTTTCGCTCTTCTTCCTCAAGGATTTTCTCCCGTCTAAGCATGTTACGTACGCCGTCAACCCAGTTATCCATCGTTTCTCTTTCTTCTGTGCGTATTCCATTGGCGAATCCTCGAGTAGCCATGCGTTTTAAAACCTCAAGGACAGATAATAGCTCTCCACGAATTTCTCTTTCCGATTTGATTGCTAAGAGACGTTCGGGATGTTCATGGGCAGTATAGTACATTTTTGCTGCACGAATAGCAAGAGTCATAATATCCAGCATATTCATACCCTGTACCTCAAACCACCCTTTCTGCTTAGCATCAGGAGTTGCGGGATTTGCATTTTCGACTTTAGATGTGGGTAGGGGGGAGGCCGGGGGAGTTCTTGCATGCTTTGCGTCTTCTAAAGCTGCAGTAGCATTATTAAGAGCATCTACCAACCCCTGTCTAAGCTGATTCAGCGTTGGGGGAGGTGCGACAACTTTCTCGCGATGAATATAGGTACTCGCTGTCGGAGGGAGCATGTGTAAAGGATTATCGTCTTCTTCGCCGCTAAAATATTCATCCACATCCTCATTATAGTCGTGAATAAGACTATCCGCCATCATACCGCCAAATTGTGCAGCAGAGAGCTCTGGGCTGCTAGCCGTGGAAGCATATGATGAGTCCGCATCAGACCCCGAGCCAGGTACAAGGAATGACGTGTCCAAGACCGATAAATCCAGAGTCTCTCTACCATCCTTCCTCTTCTTCATTAATCGCCCACCTTTCCCGTCCAGCAGACCGGTTCGAGCGAAGTAATACTGTAAATGTGCTATGCTTCCCAAGCTCAAAACGCTCTCTCTTGATTGTGCCGACTTTGCAAAATTGGTTCCTTGTGGTCGAACGTAACCGCGTCGTTTCGGTTTTTCCTGACCTGCCATAGATGTTCTATTCCCATAACTCGCAGACGAAGATCGCGAAACCGAGCTTCCAACCGAACTTTGCTCAGACGCACGACTCATAGCACTTGATCTGCCAGAGAAGACTGAGCCTTCGGAGGCTGTCGAAACGCATCGAGCCGAATTTCCCGTTGCTCCTATGGCGGGTGAAGGTCTTCCAGCTGGAGATGGAGATCTTCTGGTGAAGGACGGTCGTCCAGTGTATTCTTCGGCTGTCTCCATATTTGCTTGTTCTGTAATGTAAGTTTCAGGGACGTGTATTGCAGGTGTCCTTATAAATCTTGAACCCAATGTGATATTATTAACAGTCGAAGATTATTCACTTGGTACCGCCTTGAAATCCTCAGAATCCTTTTGCCTATTCCCTTCGAGAAGAGGCTTTTTCAAGTCAAAGATCTCAAAGCAACACGGTATGAATAACCTAATACTGGCCGGTACAATAGCAAGACCTTCTGAGTATCAAATAATTTCCTCGGTGTTAAGGAGAAATTGCAGGGTTCCGCGTTTTGAAACAAGTTGAAGTGAACTTTTAAAAATATACTGCACGGCTGCCCAAAGCGTTCTTAATAAGCCTAGCTGGAGGTGGGTAGGTAGTGTTCAAGTAAGAGTTTGGAGGAGTCGGGATTCGATTGTTCTGGTAAGATCTTACAATGCAACGTAACGAAGGTAATGTAACGAATGAAGTGAAGAGGAATGATGATAACAAGTAGTAGGGAAGGAAGGAAGGGAATATCAAAGTTAGATTGTATGAAGTCCTGGGGTTGAAGGAAGTTGACTCGGATGTCTTACTTGCTGTAATGTCTGTGTCTGTGTTGTTCCCTGAAGAAGTACGATCGATGTACGTACGGACGGAGGACATGAAGGGGAATAAGAAGAACCATCGATATAAAAATGGAAATGGAAACACCGACCTGGTATCCATGCCCATGCCGGTTCATGAACATGTTGAACTTGCCACGCTGTCTAATCTGCTAATCGGGGTAATCTTACTCAATCAATCTCCTTGAACATATAATTTCGTCTCCGGACCATGAAAATGTGCGTTCCCGTGAGGAAAAAGGTCGGAAAGATCTCCACTCTTGAGTGAAATTAACTACCGATGCCGTCGCGCATTAATTGAATATAAATGAGTCGACAGTTGGTAGAGACGCACTTCATAAGAACGCATTTCTTAATCTCTTACCTAATTGGCTTTGGCAGCCTGTCAGTGTGTCTAGTCTTCCAGCCCTCCAGCCCTCCAGCCCTACAAAATCCCGGACCAAGAATAGTTTGGAGACGAGCAACGCAGCGAACAAACATGGAGGAGTGAGGAGCGAGTGAGGAGTGTCAAAGGGCCGCATCTCGTACCATGCCTTTCAATCAACAAGGAGGGAGTGCATATTTTGGTATCGAGGAGGTCACGTTACCTCGTGTGGATATCTATCATTTTGTTCTGTTTCAAATAAGTGCTGGACACCTTTGTGAATTGAACGCTCATGACTCATACATTGGCTGATCAGTTAATGAGTTGTGAAGAATTGAAAATCACGAAGAGTTCATTGATTGCCTTCAAACTGATTATTATTGTTCTTCTTCTTATTTCTCACCAACCAATCCATGAGCCACTCAAGAGTCAATACCCTGGAAGATCTCAAACCCCATCAAGCGCCCAAAAGCCCCCTGGAATAATCCACAGCCTGTAGCTTTCCCGTTTCAAAATATTCTCCCAGCAAACTGGTACTACTACCGCCCCGACGTCTGACTTCAAATCTCTCAATGCCAATCATATTGACATAACTATAGATAATTGTCCTGTTCGGCCCAAAAGCATTTACAATTCACAGCCGCAGGTTTGAGTTCTACTCTGTTGGAGCTTATCGAATGGGTTTGTTGACTCGGGACCGGAGAACTAACTAGGTAACGAGGTAGGACTTCTATCATGTATGTTTATTTTTGGTAGCTTGTAGACGCGGGAGAGGCAATGGAAGTGTATATAAGAAAGAGGAGGTTTCTGTTGAGATGATGTGTATTTCTATAATCTACATTTTAGTAGCTTTCCTGGCAGAGTGTAACAATCCGAACGTCGTGAATTCTACATTGATTGCCTGGTGCATCAAAATTTCTACATTTCCTCTTTTCTGAATTCCAAATTCTACGACTTTCTAGAGTTCATTGTCTATCTTCCTTTTCCTATTCTCCCATCACAAATCAAACAGTTTCAAAGTAATCCACAATGAACATGGAAATGGATGCACCTCTCCTCCGTCCCTCAACCTCAACCTCGACACAGACCTCCTTGACTTATTCTTCCACCACCAGCTCCACCCACCGCAGCTTCAATTTCAACCGGAACAGACCCCTCTCCACATCAAACTCATACACTTCATCCCACACCCTCTCGTCTCATACCCTTTCTCCTCCTCGTTCCAACTCCCCAAGTACCCTCTCACGCACGCGATCTCTCTGCGCGAAATTCAACACCGAAGTGCAGTTTATGAAAATGAAGTTGTCGACGCGGGGAAAGAAGGAGAAGGGGAAGGGGAAGGGGAGATGGGTTAGGGTTGAAGGGGAGGGAGAGAGTGAGAGGAGGGTGGAGATGGTGTGGAGGAGGTTGGATGGGGGGCAGGGTATGATTCCTTACGGGGGAGTGGGAAGGGAGAGGTTGGAATGAATGGCTATTTTGAGAGAATCTTAGGAAGTAAATGCAGTGATGCGATGGGAATTGTGGGGATGAGGATTAGTATTTTACCATCTGAGATGGAACGTCGTATGATCTGAGAGGTTATGAAAGATATGAAAGACGTTGTGTGAGCTGGAAAAGGTTGCTGTGAAAGATTGAACAGCAGACAGCGATGGCAGTCCCTCCTTCGGTAATCATGGGTTTCCCGAGTGTATCCAAGGCTCAAGAATGATGGATGTTGCAATTTTCATTATTGCAACGGGAGAACCGATGTCAGTGTCATTACTGTTAGCTTCCAGGAGAGAAATCTGCGGGGCAAGAACTCTGACAGTATCCCAAATGGATTGAACGGCACAGAGCTATTTGTATGGGAGAAGAAAAGTCCCGATAGAAGGGAAGATGGAACTATTGAGCTAGTCCCGAGGTGTGGTATGGATGAGAGACGTGGCAAACTCTTCATTTGCGATGACGAAGCATCACAAGAATAATTGAATTCAAACTTACTATAGCCTCCACCCCGGGAATTCCAGACTATGCACATCACATGTTCGACAGTGGTAATGTCCTTTGAAACCTCCATGTGTACTCTAGAGACTGCCAGCTGGCAAACCGTCTCCAGCGTGATAGTTGTGTCGCAGATTATCCCCAATTGTGCCTGGTTCCATGTCATACTGATCATAATAACTACTAGTATGCTCCTCTGTCCAATCTCTCAAAGCATCCCAACCCTGACAAGTCTTCATTTGCATATAACCATTGACTCTATGCCCACTTATGTACCAAAGCGTGTAGTCCGGATTACACATGATATATTGACGAAGCGAATCGAAACAATGATAATCGTGTGCAGCATCTCAATCCCAGGGAGTACCGGTCTCCAACGCTCTGTAGTGAAGGCGGACCATTCGCTATTCAAATCAGCGCTTACGATTTTAGATTCTCTTGCGGGTTTGAAACTCACGAGACAGTGCATGGCATGGCACGCTTCGACAAGATACACTCGACTCTTCTCCGCCTCGGGACTCTCAACAGAGTAGCGAAGTGTCTCGATCATTTTGTGCTCTGTGGCGTAACTCTCTGGAAAAGAAATGATGCCATGTCCTGTGAACATTGTCCGCCATGCCTCATCGGCTTCGGTCATATGCTTGGAATTGTACGCACTCAGTGATCCTATTTGACGTTCTTTGTTTCGTTGGTAGCTAAGAGCGAAAATCTCTATAAGTAATCAGCATTATCATTTTTGATGCCATATTTATACAATAGTTGTAACTCATGGTGCCTGACCTTTGAAACGAAAGCATCCACTCAGAGTAATAGATCGGATTCGTACAAGTAGAACCTATTGTGGTATGATGATGGCAATAAGAAAAGAGATAAATATTGGTATAAGAACTCTACGGGGTTTCTTCCTTGAGACTTGCTTTGGACTCTCCGAAAGCAGTCTATCAAGTTGAGAAGTGTCGTTTGCTTCGCAGTCAGAGTCAGAAGAGTCTTGCTGACTTGGGATGATAGGGTAAGTTTCCTTCGACGTAGCCATCGCGAGATCGTCAAGCTTGTTGATTGTGGAAGCTGGCAGGATTTGAAGTCAAGATCTCCCCATATTCGACAGCAGAAACCCATTTACTGTGATATCTGCGAGTCTCTATCAAACATTCCCGTTAGGTTGCAATCCACAACGATCAAGCTCCTCTCTTCGATAGTCCCGGCAGGGGTTTATACTGCATGCATCTTCTTACCACTCATTGCGACTATGTGTGTGCCAATGCGCTTTTGGGTTCGAAAGACAAAAAAGAACAAACTCGAAAGAGACGATTGGATCATTCTTCCTAGTTTGGTAGGTCCTGCCCAACCCTAATGTTATTTCGAATTCTGCGACAGACGGAAGTTTGCAATGTAGTTATGCATGTGGGCTGCGAGTGGGATCATTCTAGCTGGTTAGTGTCTAGGAACGTTTTGCTCCCGAAGTGATTTGGTGCTAGTCAACCTCAAGGCGCCTCGGAAAAGTTCTTTGGATATCATACGCAGCAGGATCCTGAGACAGGAGAAGGAATTCTTACCTGGCGAGAAAGCCGTCAAGTGGGAGGTACGACAGTTACCATTGATGGAATATTTCAATTCTCTATTTCGATCACTCATTGACTGGCCCTAATTTACCACCATTGTGATAATCGTGCATACCATCGCTTTCGGCTTCACAAAACTCAGTGTGGCCCTCTTGTATCGCCGGCTTTTTGTAGTCAATAGACAATTCAATATCTGGTCTGCGATACTATGTGTGATCATAATCCTGTGGACTATCTCGTTCTGCTTCGCAGTTTTGTTCCAATGTGGTACACATATATCAGCTTTCTGGACTAACGGCATGCTTTTTGGTCAATATTGCGACACTGAATCATGCGAAACAACAATTTTCTGCATCACTGATGTCTTGACCGATTTTGCAATTCTTCTCACTCCAATACCCGTCGTTTGGAAGCCAAAAATGTCGATGGGTGCAAGGCTTGCACTTTGTTCGGTCTTCGCACTCGGTATCTTATGAGTACACTTGTTCGCTATTGATGGCTCTAAATAATCTGCTGATCGAAATAGGTCTGTTGTTGCTGGCATGATTCGAGCAGTTCTTACAGGTATGTTTGCACTTAATACTGAATACGGTTCTCGAGATCTCCTTGGTAAGTACCTTGATCATATAACTGGAGTTGCTGATCCAATATATGAGGCAGCTGCCAGCACCATTTTCGCGGTCTGGTGGTGATAGAATCCAGTTCTGCAATCATTGGAGCATGTCTTCCTGCGGTTCGCCCCTTGTTCCAAGGGAAAAGTCCTGAGAATGTTATCCGTTCTGTCCGATCAACCTTTTCATTGCGATCAAATTCTCAGAGTTCTTCGGCGAATAAATCGGTAAGGAAACAAGGACATAGTGTGGAGGATGAAGTTGAGCTTCGAGCCGCAAGTAAAAGCTCGCAAATCTGTGTATGAATCCCAAACGCCCAAGTATGCCAGAATCTGAACAAGAATGATGTGATCTATTTGCCTTACGCATATTTCTTTACGGGTTGAGGTGGGGAGGGAGAGGGGGAGCCGCTTCCTTGATAATCTTCTCGCTCAGTCGCCAGCGTATAAAGATATTGTTGCGCGGCTCAAGAGCGAAGACTCATTTATTGACATTGGATGCTTCCTCGGTCAAGAATCACGAAAATTGGTGTGGGACCTAAATTTTGCGCCTGCAGATCAGCTCCATGCCGTGGACATTATCAATCACTGGGACTTGGGTTATTAGTTTTTTCGTGACAAGGATACTTCTAAAGTTGACTTTTTTGAAGATGATATGTTGCAACCACGTGAAAGGTTGAATGCATTGCACGGAACGATGGATGTCATCTTAGTGAACCAGATTTTCCCATCAGTGGAATTTAGAGAACCAAACGAGGGGGCTACGCAGTTAGTCAAATTGTCTCGAGATCATCCAGGGAGCTTGAAGTTAGGCTACCAAGCCGGCGTGCCCAAGCAACGGGAGTTACTTGACCCCCCTGGTTCTAAATACAGGTGCCTTCTGCAGTCCCCAGAGACTTGGAAGGGGGTGTGAGATGAAGTTGGGAAGAGAACGGGAACGCAATGGAAAACGGAATCGAGACTGTTGACTTGGGAGCAACTCGGCAATGATCTTAAAGAGACTGCATACATGGGAACAGATGTGTTGACGATGGAATTTGTTATTACCAGGGAGTAATTTGAAACTTAGCAAGGGTGGGTGTATGGATTTGTGGACCCATAGTTTCTGTGAGAAAGGTAGCAATCGAGAAACTGGACATGTGTAAAATGCTCTCAAAGATATCTTCAAATCGGTTGGATTGAATAATCTGCTAGCCTTGAACTTAAGGTAAGTCTGAAGAATTAAAATTCGCCTGATCCTGCGTCATGTCATAATCCTGCGACCAAATTTCTTGAACGGAATGTACTGATTGCACACCCAAAGTGTTTTTAACTGACAGCATATCTCTTCTTCTTGAATCATGACAATAAAGACCGAACCCATGATATTTTTGAATATGACGGGTCCCTCCTCCAATGTATATGTATGGTGAGCAGATGATCTCCTCCATCGGATATAAAGATAGAATTCTGTAGAATGCTCTCCGCTTGGAGAGTCCGGAGAATGCCATATACGCGTCTGAGAAGCGTCGACGTAATGACGTACGAAGCGATATCATTTGGATCAACCATAATGAAGACACCATGCAAGTCCACCCTTCGTGTTTCTTCCAAACCGCATGTCAAACTCGAACAATTCCGAACTTCGCTCTCTTGCATTTCAGATACCCGTACTTGGGTTATCAGAGTACATCAAGTCCTCCCTAAGGACACCTCATGCTTTTTTTCAAATAACTGTAAGCTGGTGATAGACACGTTCTTGAACCTCGAGAATCTTAAAAATGTATATTGGTTGTTCTAGACCGAGTACTATCACGGTGATCAAATTGCTGGGCCTTCGATTCGGGCTCGGATTCGGTCCTGGACAGAGTATTTCTAAACCCGGGCCTTTTCCTCCTCTCCATGTTTCTCAAGATACTATGGACCGTCGCACCATCTTTCCAGCTCCCTAAGATTTTCGACCAATCCTCTTCATCCAACAAGTATAAATCCTCCCGGTCATTTTCCATACTGTATGTTTTGACAATATCGTAAGCATTATAGTCCGGTCGATGGCACACCTCGACTAAGGTTCTGAATATCCATACTTCTTGGTCGGCGGAGCTCCAATTTTCTCTAGGAATACTGCTGGCTCTAATAGGTCGTAGTGGCTTGCCGGATGCAGCCTGTAAGAGTTTGAGATAGCTGGGATTGGATTCGGAATGGTATTTTTCATCTTCTTTACTTGCTTGACGCGAATGATTTTTATGGATTGACTCCGAGGTGCGGGCACACAGCTTTTCGAAAAGGGATTTCAATGGCATGATGACCGAATTGAGAAATCCTAATGTTCAGTAAGGGAGAAATATTGATAATTACGTGAGGAGATAGCAAATGTTTGTATGGATAATTTGATATTAGATTTGAGGAAAATGTGTTTGGGGTGAGATGTAGGTGAGTGACATGTGGCATCTAGTCTTCAACTAGATGTCAACACTTACTAAGTAGTTTATCTTTTGTGATGAAGTAGCGAGCCAAAAATAAGAAAGTACCGGAGCATCACTCTAGTACAGTAGTTGGTATGTAGAGGTAGTTCAAGAAGAACTACAATGTGCGGGGTTTCGAATTCCCTTCAAATTTGAGAATTACTGGCTCAGCGAAACGATCGATTGGATGGCTGATCAATCTGGGCCCCCCAATCTGGATCCATGACACAACTGTATGTCTGGTACAATCCTTATTCCAATGGTATCTGAATAAGCGTCCATTGTCACAGCAATATCAACGATATCAACGCAGTAAACCCCACCAGCCCCGCGCTATGAAAGTGTCGTCTCAATATACTGAGCAATTGAGACTCTTGGAGTTTCCCCACGATATCATGATCGGCATTGACCATGTAATCCGAATATGAGAACTACCCAAACTATTGCCAAGCAACAATGGTTTATACCGATGCTTATTATTGACTTGAAGAATATTATAAAGAATTGTGGCCGAGTTGACTGTCTACCTAGGATCCCGTCATATTCACATCAGAGCAGACCTAGGCAGACGGATCTTTCAGACCATAAGACAGATGGTGGTTTGTGATGTTCAGAAAGTTCATATAGATTGAAAGCTTGGAGAAGAATCGAGGGTAGGAGGGTAGGAGGGTAGGAGGGTAGAAAATAGAAAATAGAAAATAGAAAATAGAAAATAGAAAATAGAAAATAGAAAATAGAAAATAGAAAATAGAAAATAGAAAATAGAAAATAGAAAATAGAAAATAGAAAATAGAAAATAGAAAATAGAAAATAGAAAATAGAAAATAGAAAATAGAAAATAGAAAATAGAAAATAGAAAATAGAAAAAAGTATATACACCTGGGCAGTTCATGATAGATGCACAATTACCTAGGCAGGTACGTACATACCTAGGAGAGCGGAATCTTCACGTGAGATTCCGCCATAAGGGAGGATATTGTGACATTTTACCTGTATCTCATTCGTGCTTTTCCTGCTGCATTCATTGCCTATGTCGTATTTCCCGCCCCTCCCCTTCCCCTTCCCCTCCCCCTCCCCGCCTCCTTTGATCAAGCCAATGGAGAGCAACAAAGCAACGACCCCCCCCTTGTCGTCGTTGTTGTCAAAGATTCATATATATATATATATCCTTCATTTAATTGGACTCGCTTTTCGGCAGTTTTAAATATGTTTTTACTCAATCCATTTTTTCTTTTTCTTCCCCAAGCACTTTATGACGTAGTAGATGACCCCATGTTTGCCATTCTTTCAATTCTCCAATCCAACTGCATGAAAATCTGCACGCCATGATCGAAAAAGGACCATGAGCTTAGAATCTGAGACAGTCAGCAGGCGTCTTATCAATTGGAATCCAAGTATAGTCTAGCGTGTCTCGTTGATAGATTCATAATTTCATCCATTACATTACTCATCCAGGGTTCAAGTCAAACACCAAGACGGCTGTACGGAATCTACGGCTCACAGCTTCTCCAATAAAGTGGTCGATGTGCATACTAAGGATCGTATATAAAGTAACATCTTCCGCATTACTTGATGAAATCCTTGGAAACTTGGTTTTTTTTGATTACCTGTACACAAGACTTGCTTGAGGGAAGTAAGCTTAAAATTAGATCTCGCCGTTGAAAGAAGAAAGAAGATCCCTAGGGAGGGAGACTAGAGCGTATGTGTGGGTGTTATGGGTCCAAGCAGACCTCGGGAGACCTGGCAATTGTTGGTGGTGGAGTTGGTCGGGTCTAGGTAGGAAGGCAATCATACCGATTAGCTACGGGACCAGGGAGACTGTGGCATGTCACTCGACTGGGTAATATGATGAGGATGAGGATGAGGATGAGGATGAGGATAATGAGTCCTTTGGTTTTCTTTCATTCTATATGCATCATCCGAATTCAAGGACGAGTTCCAGTACCGGCACCAGAACACGCACAAGTACAAGTACCAATTCAAGTACAACTAGCCCTTTCCTTTCAGCCCTCTTCCTATCATCCCGTCAACTTTTCCACCTTGCCAAGTAAACTACCCAGCTCTTTCCTCATGCTATCCATCTTGGCAAAAGCTTGAATCAGTCGTTCCGGCACGATACCTGACGATACCTTACGATACCTTACGATACCCGGCTTCAAGTCCTCACTTTGTGCAAGCTGATTGTCACTTCTTGAGCTTCTCTCACACGCTTAAATAACTTAAATAACATTAACAATATCCCTCCCTCCATCCGACTTCATCACAAATCCCGGTGGTACCCGTGCGTCAAACTTTCCATTGTTGACTCGCGCCCATTATACGCATTCACCTTGTATCGACGAAATTAACCCAATTAAAAGGCTTAGTTCCAACCCGTTTGGGCGCCTCTTCGTGATAATCCTTTCCCGTTCTCTCCGTTCAATTGGTCACCTTGAGGATATTAGAATTATCTTCCGTCTTTTTTACTCCCCTCCTTCCGTATCGCATTTTCTTGTCATACAAAGCTTGGCTGTAAGCTCATTTTACAACTACAATCATAATACTCTTTCTTCTTTGCGCAATATTACGCCGTCTCTCCGCGGAATATTCTAAACTCTCCTGGAGAGTATAGACAAAGATGTCGGAAAAAGTCGATCGTCAAGCACTCGGCGACATGTCAAATGGCGCAAATTACCCAGCGCAAGAGAGTCCATCGCAAGTCAATCCAGCGCAAGAGAGTCCAGCAGCCCAAGTAACTCCGGCGCAAAACGGCACACAGCAAAATGGCGACGTAGAGAAACAACACCAAGGCCAATTGCAATCGGCAAAGGAAAAGGTTACCGAGAAACAGCAAAAGTTAAAAGATAAGGCCAATCCTCCTGGTGGTTTCGATGCGACGCCAATTCCCCATGCGCGAGATGGGTATACTGTACGATTTACCTTTCACAGAGCTGAGAATCTTCCTGCCTCGGATCTCAACTCTCGCTCCTCCGACCCTTTTCTTACGGCAACTTTGACATCCTCGCTATTGAAGCGGCACAAGGAAGATCCAGATCTCGTCTTGCGAACCCAAACCATACACAAAAATACAAATCCGGAATGGAATAAGACTTGGACGGTAGCTGGTATTCCCGGAAGTGGCTTCCGCTTAAAATGCCGTCTATACGATGAAGACCCCGCAGATCATGACGACCGATTAGGAAATGTTACAATTCATGTGGAATCACTGGGTCCAAATTGGCAAGGTTTCAAAGAGAGAGGATTTGAGATCAAAAAGAGAATGGGTAGCAAGAGAGCATATGGAGTACGAGCTTGCGCTGCTATGTTTGATAGCAATGTTCACATGGATGTTACACTATATGTCAGCGCGGAATTCTTGGGACCATCCGAGCAACCATATGGCAGAATGTACACTGTCGCGGAAACATATTTCTTCAAGCATTATTCGCCTATGATTGGAAGATTGGCTGGTACTAAAGCTCCTGGAAGCTCATCGGGAGATAAGCCACAAACTGAGAAATACGAGTAAGCAATTCTCCTTCGTACCTAACATCATGTCAATTTTAACAATTTAGTTTCCAAGCAAATCAGATACAACTTCAAGGTCCAGTGCCAGCTGAATTATACCATCGCTTTGTCGAATTCAAACCTTTCGTAAAAGGAATGTTCTCAAAAGCCGGTCTACGAGGACGAGTCTTGAATAAAGCTCTTCATCACCAACACGCCCGTGTGTATAATTTCAGTAACAGTACAGAATACGGAGTATTCAAAGCCCGATCAGAAGAAGCCGCATTGCAGTTTCTCAAAATGGTACACTTTGATGAAGGCGCAAGGATATTCACCTATGTACTCTCACTCGATGGACTTCTTCGATTTACCGAAACAGGCAAGGAGTTCGGTGTTGACCTTTTGTCAAAACATACCATGCACAGCGATGTAAATATTTATATTGCGTGTTCTGGAGAATTCTTCATTCGTCGACTAAAACACCCACGTCGATCAGCTGATGATCCCAGCCAATCTACTCACCCAATCGAAGAGCTTCCAGGAGGACCACCCCACGATGCACCCCCCAAAGACCCCAGCCATTACGAACTGGTGATCGACAATGACAGCGGCACTTACCGACCAAAGGGCTCCCTGCTTCCCCTCCTCAAGAAATTCCTCAATGAGAATCTCCCGGGTCTTCACATCGTTACAAAAGAATGCACCGACGACCATCTTACCAAGATGAAACAAGGACAACGTGAACGCAAGAAGAAGGAAGGAAATGAAATTAACATGGTGCAGAATTCAGATGATGAGATCAGTAGTAGTGACGAGGAAGATTTGAACGATCTGGTGGGCTCAGGACGCAAGAGCAAGAGAGAGAGACTGGTTGCTGGGCTTGAAGATCCAAGTCAGGCAGTCAAGGATCTGAAGAAGGACTATGTACCAGGGAAGTCGAAGGCCCAGAAACAGGAAAATGGAAATCCACCCGAGACAGCGTGATGATGAGGATTGTGAATGGAGGGTTTGGCTGAAGGCTACGATCGAAGGCAAAATCTATCTACAATACTCACATAATCAACCACGACTGGGTCCTCTTGCGACAGGGACTCATGTGAGGGTTAAGGGGATGAAGGGGATGAGGAGGAGGAAGTTAATGGATACCATCACCATACTGGGTGTAAATGAACGCGTCGACGAGTGATATTCTTCCTCACGACCACATCATACCTAACTTAATAACGCATTTCTTTTGTTTATTTGTTTGTTTGTTTTTACGCGAAGTCCCTTTTTTTTGATACCCTCTACTAGGGCCTATTTACCTGTTCTGTTTCCATAATCATCCCCTTCATTAGGCCACGGTGGGATAATAGGGTGGGAGGAACGGAAGAGATTGGAATTGCCCAAGGAAGATGTTTTCTCTCTCTTGTATTGCTTTGCTTTTTGTTGCATTGCTTTGCGCGAGGGATCGTATGGTATGGTATAGTATCGTATAGTCAATGTAGATATCTTTCAGCAGTAGTTTTAAGTACGTTACGTTACGTTGTGTTGATATGTAATGGATTGAATCGATTGGCGTCTATGTTCTTTTGCACAATGAAATGTGTGTAAGTATGCGGGCTTTTTTGAGCAAGTAAGTGTAGGTAAGTGCATCATGTAAATGTGATGGATATATACATAGGTAGGTAGGTAGGTAGGTAGATAGGTAGGAGGTAGGCATGAGACTCCTCGTTCATTCCACCTGCTCGATTCCATTCAATACACAGAATCATAAAGAGGTATGCATACAATCAACAAAGTACTCAGTAGGTATAGAATGTAATGTATGTATGTGTATATGTGTATGTGTATGACACAAAGCATCGTTCCACCATCTCACATCGCATGTGCATCCATCCATCCATTGAGGCAAGCCCAACTAAACCTATCCACTCCACATAACTCATACTCCATTAATATTATTCCTCTCCTTTTCCTAACCTAACCTATCCAAATCCAGGTGTCGAGTGGCTTGCCTGCTTCCATTTCAATTCCTCAAGCGATGGTGGATATCGATACCATACATCGCTCACTATACATGTACAATGAAGCAAACCTCCGTGTCATTCATCATTGTGCCAACCTGCCAGCCATCGGCGAGCCACCTTTCTAGCTATAATATAAGCAAGCCAGCCTTAAGCCAATACAAAATAAAATATTTCAGACCAAGAACACGAAAAACGCCAACAATGCTAATCCCATGGTATCTCCAAATCATCCATCATTCATTAACATACCATGACATGTCATACCATCAAAAAATTTCATGAACGTTCCTGGATGGGCGTTTTAGCTAATCGTCCGCCAGCACTAACACGTTTCTGCAACCTCGCCTCCCGCTCCTTGAGCTTGTCCTGTGGGGTCATTGTGGTTGGCAAGGCCCCTAAAGTATCACTGGTGCCTCCTGCACGTTGCGTCTTTTGTTCGATGTACAGCGTTGCGCTTCGACTTAACGGAAATGCGGGTAGAGAGGTTGGGATCTCAGCCCCATGCTGTATGAGCATTTCTGCAATTGGGAATGGCACAATCTTTGCAGGAGGCTCAACTCGCGTGGAAGACGTAATTTGTGCTGGAGATGCTGGATCAGCAGCAGCGAGAGCCAAAAATACTGAATGAGTTCCACGAGACTTATCCGTGACATTAGGATTTGCCTTGAGCGCCAAGGCATATATCACCTGTTGGACATCGTTCTTCTTGACTGCGGCAAGAAGGGTCTCATCTGCTGTAGCATATCGTGAGAGGGTGGATGAAATTGGTTCCACGAAGGCTCGGTCAACATACTTGGCCGTGATAAATTTCAATCTTTGCTCGCGTGTAGCTTGTGGCGCGGGTTTTGTAGCTAGATCAAGTCTAGCTTCCCAGACCATGTTGGAGACACGATTGCCAACCAATAAAAGTAACTCAACAATGTCCGTGGTAAATGAATTGATATCGAGAGTTAAGGAGCGTACTTTGCTGATATGTGTCCCAAGGGAGCGGTGAATACCACTGCATTCGATACAAAGAATGATGGCTAAGTTGATCGACACCCACTCTGTTTTGATTCCAGATCCACAATCTGCACACCAGCAGTTTCCTTGATCCGTTTCTCGTAGAAGCTGTAATAGTTTATCTGGGCTTTCATCAAAGCTACTGCTACTCGAACGGCCATACGCAGGTCTTGCACCAACAGTCGTTCTTCTAAACACATTGTTTGTGCTAGAGACATTAGTATGGTTTGAAGAATGACCGTGGTTCATCGAAGAACTCTTTCCTGTCAATATCGAACCAATATCTCTTCGGATCGAATGAGGCTCAGGCTGAGGCGCCAAGGCTGGGTAATCTTTCATACCTCTACCCTCAACCGCACTCTGAAGCGCATTATTGATAGCGGAAATCCAATTCTTCATATCGTCTTCCGATGTTGCTTGATATACTCTCTTATAATGAGGTGTTATGACCTCAAAACAAAAACGGCGCTCGGCATCGCGAGCCTCACGAACAGATGCCATACGTAAATCTATGGGCTCCATGTGTAGGTCTAGTCGCTGCTTCCAATTACTATACTCAGAGAGTTTACCGGCATCAAGTACAATCCAAAATCTACGAAAGTCAGTGGGGTTACTGCGTCTATGGCGAGTCAGACTTACTTGTGCCAAGCTTGCTTATTTAGGCCCCTTGGATCTACATGGCTACCAGGCCTGCTCAGAGCCCAGAGAAGACCCTCTTTACGCTGCGTGCCCAACTTCTCACTCGCCGTGATTTGACTGTGATCTTTTTCTTCGAGGTCACGTATGCCACGAAACCGAGGATTTGCGCCCGGGCTTCCTACTTGTCCTCCCACTGTAGACGAGAGGCTACCGGGAGATCTAGAAAACTCCGTCGTGCCACCATTGTTGACTGTAGCAATTGTACTATTTGTCGGCACCGGTCTCAGCTGATGCCCAGTGCTATCCGCTCTGTTGAGCTCAGAATCTGATGTATATGCGCCATTCCCTGAACTCGAGGTTCCAGGTACGATGGGTTCAACTGGGACTGCAGGAACTGTCTCAGGTTCCACATATGTAATAGTACTCTTCTCGAGATTGCGCCGTTTTTCTTCACGTTCAGTCCTCTGGTATTGAAATTCTTTGTCTGCATCCTGCACTTCTGCACTCAATGCTTCTAACTGTGGAAGCATTTGTTCCACCTTCTTGGCTGCTGCGAGATAACTCCTTGTCTGAGCATCTGCATACTTAGTCAAGTGTGACAAAACTTCTTGTTCTTTTCGCCCCCCATGAAGATCCTGCATGAATGAAGAATAATCGAAACGCTTCAGCTCGAAATTCCGACGTTTCGTTTGGTATTTTGTATCGCTCTCAACGCGCTTTTTCTGTTTGAGGGAATCTTGACGTTGACCCAAGTATCTTGAGACATATGCATAATAATCTTTACTTTCTTCCTCGAAGTCTCGTTTCTTTGATTCAGCTTGTTTGATATCGAGGGTATATAATTTTGCAAGTGGCTCTATAATGACTTTCTCGAGATTGAGAGCATTCTGCCTCTCATACTGTAAAATCTCCCGCGCAATCTTATCAAAGTAATGGTCCAAAGCGGGCTGAACTGCGTTTGCATTCGAATTAGATGCTTCTCGAAGCGCTTCCATAAATCCTCCAATGGCATCGTTGCATTGCATCTGAGCAATTTGCGCAGCTTCTGCCTTTCTGAGAACCTTCTTCATCCGTGTGCGCATATTTCCAGTTTTCTGCTCTAATGCTTTCATGGTAGCTCTGAATAACGGCCCATCTTCGGTGGCGCTCATATCTTCACCCGGGCGTTGACAAGAAACATCAACCTTGGGTACATCCGCCATTTGACTTTGAGGAACAACCAGATCGAGGTTAAGGGGATTTGGCGACGGTGGTGCATCTTCGTAGGAAGGTTCTTGTCCGCTCACACGAGAATCGAGGGATTGAGAAGAGGGAAGTCGCAATTTTGGGGGTGGAACAAGATGGAATGGGGGAGATGGCGAGCCTGGCATACTTAACGGTTGTGAATCTAGGTCCTTGTTAGTAGATGATTGGGGCCAAATCAATTAGAGCCTTACTTGAAACCCAGAATGAGAAGCTAGCCAGTGTATTCAATCGATGCGCTCGTTGATCATATTCGAGAAACTAGAGAAATGTTAGGACGAGTAACATATGCGATCCGGCCGAACGTACACTACAATTATTTCTCCAACCACCCCCGCGGTCCTCTGTTGGCTTTGGAGGTCTCCATTTCCAAGACCATTCGAACGACACTGATTGACTGCCTCCAGTAGAATAATCCCCAACCAATTGTACATTGGCATTCTTGTGCAAATTCGGATCGGCATGAAATTCTCGAGTGACTAGATTCTCTACTTCTCGCGCCGTCGAGGCGGATACATATGTAAGTCCATTTATAACTGAATCTATCAATCCGACCACATCTTTTGCGCCATTCGTTGCAGGAAGAAATCCTTGCGATTGTCGAATAATGAATGTGAAGTTGAAGGTAAGTTCTTCTTCGTTATTGATTTTGATGAGGAAATTGGGAGCGGCGCCAGGAAGTGTATCAGGGTCCTGCAGAATTCTGATTAGGATTTTTGGTAATACAAATGCAATGTATATGTATGTATAATCGTTACCTGGACATATTCCACCACAGCACTATCTCCAAGGTCGCGAATCGCAGATACTCTTGTTGCTGGAAAGCCGTTTGGAACAATGTTTAAGAGTGTTTTCCTTCGCTGATTGGTGATTGACAAGGACGATATAGTTACTAGTAGTATATCATAATCAGTCCCCTCCTTCTCTCAAAATTTGGGGAGTATCAATGGAAGTACTAACAGCGAGTTTGATCCCTCAAGTACAATGGCGCGCCATCATCTGGTCTGCTACTAACATTACCCATTTTCCTGTTATGTATGTACGTTCCTCACTGTCTCTCACACTCTCTCCAACACAGACACACGCTCTCTTTCCCTCTGTCTCTCAGGGTTTACCCCACTAAAGTTATCTAGTTGGAAGTCGTTGCAAGAGGTATGGCCCTTGCTCTTGACAATATTGTCGAACACTGTAAAGAAGATGATGTTTTTGGCATCTAATCTGTATAATGGCAATTAAGAACAAATGTAATAAAGAAGGGATTCGGTTGATTATTTTGGCGTATAAGGTTGATATGATATGGTACCCTAAACTCTATGGGATTGCTAGAGTCGAAAGTAAAGAGTACTTCCTAGCAGCTAGACTGGGAGACTGGGAGACCGGTACAGTAAGGTTCTCGCTAGACGGGGTGCTGGTCGTAGTGGTAAAAGATTAGCCTTTGCTTTAGTTCGTCTCTTATTAAAGGCAACCCTGATGTAGTTTCTGTATCTGGGCCGGTATCTGGGTCTGTTTCAACAGTCGTTTCACTGCTGTGGACTTAACGGATCTTGAAGTTACTGTGAGGTAAAGTAGATGCAAGGCTGTGAAGGATCTTACTTATTAGTCCCTGGTAGAGAGAGGGTGTTCATGTAAGTAGATGAGTAAGTGTAGATAGCAGTAGTCGCAATAGTAGATGTATAAATGGAATTAGATGAATAAATGGAATTAGATGAATCTTACTTCTGACTTGTAAGCAAAGCAAGGATATCACTCAAATTCTAGATTGTATGTGATACAATCCCGTGCATTCTTCCCCTCTGCTGTGTCTCGTGTTACTTTTGACTCTTATTTTTCACTATTGCATTCCCTAATAACTGATACCTAAAATATAAAATACTCAAATTCCTCCATGATTATTGTTCACAGCCTCTTACAGCATACCCGTACCCACGCCCACGCCCTTGGTGCTGACGCACATTGTTGGGCTTGTGAATGAAACGGACCAGGACCAACAATCACAGGGCTGTTAACGTATTTAAAAGCGATAGAGTATAACTTGGCATTAAACGGGCCCCACGGGCTCCAAGTGCCTTTCGGTACCTAGATACTAGATAGGTAGTGGAAGCAGATAGTCAGGGGGTCTTTTTTCTCCAGCCAAGTTAATAACAAAAGAGTCACGGTTCTTGGAGTTTGTTCCAGTTTCACTCAAGGTTTGATACGAGTGTTATATTATATATGCGCCTCCATATCTAGTGATGTGTGTGACCAAAAATATCTGAAGATTTGCCTTGGAGAGAGGCAGATTCGCGGCAAATACATTACTACGTATACTAAATGTATTTTTGATACGAGATCCTGCCCTGCTGCGGATCACTACTACACAAGCAACTACACAAGCACCTTGTAGTTAAAAATCTCGATGCATACCTAGGTACCTCCATACCTAGTATAGTATTCGTAAAATAGAACAAAAGCCTCCGAAGGTACAAGCGTATCACCCTTTTAATCGATAAGCGATAGAATGTACACCAACCTCGGTATGTCTCAAACCACGGCTCACCTCTCCAAGATATCTTCCACCCTTCCCTTCTCCACAAGAAGTTCCCCAGGTTTCCTATATATATAATTAGACCAAGAATTTGATTTGCTTCGTTGATTGTTTCGTACACCATTTCTTCAATCATTCCACACCTTATCTTGTCTCACCTAACACGTTTGTATATACGACATGACGTCCCTTCCTTCATCAAACACAGGCAGCAACTTTGCCGATGCTACCAAGGTCCAACAATTGACTTCACATACTTACTCTGCAAACTTTCCCGATGTAAGATTCTTGATACATATTACATAAATCGATTTGATGACTCTGAGCTATACAAGCATGATTACGAACAATCTTACTCTCAACATACAATTTCGCTTTACTAGATTCTCATACTAACAATTGACGCAGGACTGGTGCATTGGATCAGGTAGATAAGCACCTTACCAAACTTTCTACTTGGTTACCCATGTATCCATGAACTCATTGTCTTACTGGAGATCTAGTTCCCCATGGCGGCTTCGTAACTGGCGTCTTTCTCCAAGTCTCTGCCCTTCATTTTCGCACCACCCTGTCAGCCCAAAAACAACCAAACCCCATCACACTTCATCTGGAGTTTTTGCGGCGCACTGAAGCTGGCCCTGCCCTCTTCACCGGTTAGTCTTTCCCATGACTTCTAACTATCGAGAGCATTATATAAATGTATCTTTCATCTTATAGATTGGATTCTATGTACTAATGTTCTCTTTAGTCCAAGATGCCAAACTCGGGAGACAGACATCTGTTCTCCATGTAACCCTGTCACAAGGTGACCGCGTTGAAGTAGTCGGTTATATCACGCACTCTAATACTAGGACGGAAGAAGGCGTTTCTTCTCCTCACACTCATGTTCTTCATCCAGCCCCCCTCCCCGTCTCTCTTTCTCGTAAGCATAGCCGATGTTCCATCCAACACCCTCATCTTTGCTCCCCCCTGCCATCTCCTCTTTCCAAATCTCACCAATTAACCCTCGAATTTTAGTTCTAAAAACTGACAACGACCCCAACTATCGCCACGAAGGCATGGCCTTCCCCAAGTTCCGTAAAGCTAGCACAAAAGCCCACACTTACTTTCCTCACACCCAACCTGCTCCTAGTATTTCAGACGAATGGATCCGACTATCCACTGGCGAATTTGTAAGCACCGCATTTCTTTTATAATACCGAGCCTGAACCCATAATCACCTCCTCCACCCCGCTTACCATATTCTCCTGACCTTACGCCCCAAATCAAACCAAAATTCTAACCCAAATGTCAACCAGTGGACTGACGAAAGTCTCGGCTACGCTTGTGACATGTTTGCGCTCCCCACCGACTTCCTCTCTGCAACCACCGCCCCTTCCACCTCCTTGGAATCTAAACCCACTATTCCCGGCGCAAAGTACTGGTTCCCAACTCTTTGTTTAAATATAGATTTCAAGAAGTCCCTCCCATCGACTGGCATTGAATGGCTCTTCATTCGAGTTGAACGAAAGCAGACGAGAAATGGGCGCATGGATATAGAGTTGACGGCTTGGGATGAGGAGGGAGAATTGGTCGCTATCAGTCATCACGTTGCGCTAGTTGTGGGGAGTGAGAGGAACATGTCAGCGAGAAGTTCGAGTAAGATATAAAATGTAGAAATTGAGTATGAATTTTAGATTTGTGGGATTGGACATAGAGTGGAGATTTTGGTCAAACAAATTTCATATGGACTCTTCAACCTAGACTTAGGAGTTATGATAAAAATAGTGCATCACTTGCTGGAGACAGACAGATGATTGAAATCGTATAAAGAGGTATAAAAACAGGTATATTCCCAAAATTAGATTCAGTCGTACTCGCTATGTCTATTCATGCTTGAATCCGACTAGTAGTATGTATAGCAAATCTTGAGGTCAAGGAAGAACCGAAGTGCAACCTAGAAATATCAGACCGGCCATGTCATTAACACCTCCAATCACTAAACCGACTCAAATTCCGACCCAGCACCGTTTGCTGTCATCTATGTATCAAGGTTTCGTCGTGCATTCGTGAAGGAGCAACTTCATCCTCGGCAGGTTTTGTATATGCAGCAGTGTATGGGGCTCGCCAGATACAAGTAATACCTTTGTACCTGAGTAGGACCGCGTAAAATTTGATTGGGGATGTATTCTCAGTTTCGTAGACGCTGGAGAGACTGAGTTATGATAACTATAACTGAAGCCCTTTCACATAAAATCATCACTGCAATCAGTCAATAATTGTTTCGTGGAAGAAAGGGTAACACAAACTTACTCTCCGAAATCATCATCATAGGCCTGGGTATCTTTGCTGCCCATAGTGTCCCTGCTTGCATTTAAGGTAGTCTTAGTTTTCTGTGCTTTAGACTTCTTTCCTCCCTTTTCAGCTGCCTTCTCCTCCTTCATTTTCTCGTTACTCAAAGCTGTCAGTGTACTGGCGATCTTCTTGATTTGATCACTTGGAAGTTCTTTGGAGATCTGCTTAGTGAACTCTTGTAAGAAGATGATGTATTGTGCTTTCTTGACATTGTTGGTAATAAGAGGGACAAGAGTTTCGCGGAGCTTCTCAAACTGCTGCTTGGTTCTAGGATCGAAAAGTGGGAGAGTTGTCAAATCGACAGTCGCGGCGGGGTTCTTTTCATCAATTTGCACTGCGTTCGCGGCACTTGTAGACTTGCGAGAGTTGATACCAATGTTGCCAAAAAGATCCTCAGCGTGCTTCAAATCGGATTCTTGTTCAGTTCGTCTGAGGCGTTCCCTTCTTGTAGCCTCATCCTCTTCGCTGCTCTCATCGCTACCTTCTGCCAGTTGTCGTGCTCTCTCGGCCTGCTTCTCGGCGACACGTTGAGCCTTTGACTTCTTGTTCGCAGCAGCCAATGCATCAGCCTTGGCCTTTCGCTCGGCTTCAACCTTTGCCTTCTCGCGCTCAACTTCAGAATCTTCGGCGGCACTCCAGGAATCTAAGACTTCATCGTCATCCTCCTCGTCATCGAACTTTCTTCGGTTCGAAACGGCGGTTTGTGCGGGTGTTGGCTCCGATGATTCCTCTCCGGAGGATTCCTCATCTATTTGGTAGAGTAGCGGTCAGTTTAAAGTGCTTTCTTTGTGCATTTACATGGCGGTAGATCTTCCAACCAAACCTTCAAAGTGCTCGTTATTTGATGAGACATTCCGCGCAGAACACGCCGTGGAAAAAATAAATATTCTGCCACTTACCCCACTTGTCAGGCATTTTCAAGACTAGATTTCCGGTGAAAAGACCTTTTTTATTGATTCTGGTTGGACTATTTCGATCACTGGGCCTGGAGTCTCAAAAGCCTCGCTGTAATAGTCTTCACTATGTGTTGTGGTAGTGGAAAGGAAAATATTAAGAAAGAGGGATTTTGGAAGTTTGTCTTTAGGTTTGCGCCCGCACTTGCTAATAGGCAAGTACCCACTGCCAGTAGTTAATAAGTTAGACCGATCGGAACAGACAGTGCCTAGTAATCTTGATTGGTCCCGATTGATTAACCTTGTACAGTTACAAATGTGTTAGCTCATCAACCAAGTTTAAACCTTTCCATCCACATCCACAGACTGCAATATGTACAATGGTAACAAAATTGTCCTGGTTTCTTTATAGTAATGGAAACAATAGGTTGCATTTATAAGGTAATAATAACGCCGTTACAGTCACAACACAATATATAAATATTTTGGTCGAATTGTTTCTCATTTTTAGGTATCATTCATCATTACTCTGGCTATGGTATCGCTCATCCCGCATAACACAGTTACCTACCCAGCTTACTTTTGTCAAAGTATCTTCGACTCGTTTACAAATTGACGGCAGTTCTGAAGCTCTCTCCAGCATAAACAGCCTTATCACCGAGCTCCTCCTCGATTCTCAAGATCTGGTTCAACTTGGCCAAACGCTCGGATCTAGCTGGGGCACCAGTCTTAATTTGACCGGCACGGAGACCAACAACGATGTCAGCAATGGTGACATCCTCAGTCTCTCCGGAGCGGTGAGAAACCATAACACCCCATCCAGCAGCGAAGGAGTCCTTGGCGGCTTGGATGGACTCGGTAAGAGTACCAATTTGGTTGACCTTCAACAAGAGAGCATTGCAAGACTTGAGTTCAATGGCCTTCTTGATTCTGATTGGGTTGGTGACAGTCAAGTCATCACCGACGATTTGGAAATCGGAGGACTTGTAGAAGTAGCTCCAGGCCTCCCAGTCATCTTCAGCGAATGGATCCTCAATGCTGACGATTGGGTACTTCTTGGCAAGGTTCTTGTATTGATCGGCAAGTTCAGTGTAGGTGATCCACTTGGTTGGGTCACTCTCTGGGTTCTTGAAGTCCAAGTCGTACTTCTTGGCATCCTCCTTGTAGAACTCGCTGGAGGCAACGTCCATGGCGATGTTCATCTTTCCGGTGTAACCAGCAGCCTCGATAGACTCAGTGATGAGCTCAAGAGCCTCCTCGGCAGTTTGAATATCTGGTGCAACACCACCCTCGTCTCCGACATTACCAGCGGATTGACCGTACTTCTTCTTGGCGAGAGACTTGAGCTTTTGGTAAACCTCAGCGCCTTGTCTAAGAGCTTCGGTGAAAGATGGGGCAGCACTATAGACTGTATTAGCGTATGATTTATTGTATGTGGAATGTGCAAGTAGCAACTTACGAAGGGACGATCATGAACTCTTGGAATGCCAAACGTCCACCAGCGTGGGAACTATGCGTTGTCAGCGAACTAATCTACAATTCTCAGAACTGCCAGATTGCTTACCCTCCGTTAAGAACGTTCATGAATGGGACAGGGAGAACGTAAGGCTTCTTGGTTCCGGCGAGGTCGGAAACGTGAGCGTAAAGTGGGATACCCTATTGAGCATTAGGCAAGCAAACGATTGTGAGAATGTACTGTGACTGACCTTCTCAGCAGCTCCGGCCTTGGCAACAGCCAAAGAAACACCAAGAATGGCATTGGCTCCCAACTTGCCCTTGTTTGGGGTACCGTCGAGGCTGTTCAAGAACTCATCAATCTTGGATTGATCCTTGACATCAATGTTCTCCTTGATAAGAGCTGGGCCAATGATATCATTGACGTTGGCGACAGCCTTGGTAACACCCTTTCCAGCCCACTTGTCCTTATCTCCATCACGGAGCTCAACGGCTTCGTGTTGACCTGAAGTGCCATCCGATCAGCCTTGTAGTTTTCTAGCGTTTGGAGCGATTTACGTACCAGTGGAAGCACCAGATGGAACAATGGCACGGTGAAGACCAGTCTCAGTGACAACGTCAACCTCGACGGTTGGGTTTCCACGAGAATCGTAGACGGAACGTGCGTGAATCTTAGTGATAGCCATTTTGACTTTCTGTTGAGGAGTTATCATTAGTATTTGGGCTTATCGATCAAATTATACAAATGATAAAAAATGCTGGAATAAATGGCGGATATCGAAGAAGAAAATATCGGTATGGATGAGGATGGTGGGGTGAGAGCACCAACTCGAGCTTCAGCGTATAGCTTCTTCCTCTACTTATTGATTCACTTTAATCAAGAGATAGAAATGAAGCTCTTGATCGTAGGTAGATACCTAGATACTAACAACAGTTGAAGGGGGATATCATCAAGATGGTCTTACCTTGAATTTTAATGTGACTTTGGGAAAAGAAAGATGTGATTGTGAGAAAGTGAAGATCAAGAAGTTGGAGTCACAGAGAAGAACGAGATCTTTTTCAACCCCTCGCCCCACCAAACGTGCCAATGCGTCGACCCTTCCCGTACCAGCCTGTAATCCCTGCTGACCGGAGTTACTCTTAGTAAGTGAGTTACGCCGAAGTCTTGACTGGCTCGATTGGATAACAGTAATGTATCTACACCTACGTTTGTGCACGACCTTATGCAGATTTTGGGTGGAAATGTATCAACGTGTATATAAAGTGGAATTATGTTGACCTTGGAAACTATCTTGGAAGCTGTTTGTTGAAAGTTTGAAACATCCAAGTACAAGTCAGACCTACTAAACTAACACCAACGATGTTTGGGAATGGCACGTCCCGCACTCTCTAGATCTCAACCATTATTGACAGACGAGAGCCGGATTGTTACTACTTTCAAACTTAAAAATGGCTACGTGTGTCTACGGAGTAGTATCTCAAGCCAATGCCATGTCTAGACTATAGCTTTGCGAGCTTTGCTCGTACTATTTCGCCTCTCCGGTGGCCGGACCCGACTTGAAGAAAGTTTCGTGAGTGCTCTTGGGTCTTGAGTCTAAAAGACGAACAATGTACCTCCCTGCCAAGGTCATTGATATTCACTGTACCTGTATGGCATGAAAGATAGTAATGGAACATGTCCTAAATGATCACATCATAACTTTCATCACTGTCGTCACAGTCGAAACCTTGAGGTTGGAAAAGGACCAAAAAGATACAAAGTCCCGATTCATCTTGTTGGTATATGAAGGTGGAATCGTGTCTTCTACGAGTTTTGGGTGCTTTATATCTCTAAATGCAGCACTGGATACCTACTTGCAGGTGATGTTGAGAAGCTTTAGGTAGGTACCTGGGTAATGTGGCACACTTGAAGGTCGGAGAATTGGGCTCCCTCGGAGTACTGTAGATGTATCGCTTGGTAGTGAGTCTATGCAGGTAAACAGAGCGATGCAATGATCAATCAACGGAATGTACTCGGTAGACGATATATTGGGTTATAGATTCTGAGGTTGAGGTTGATTTGAATGCTGTATAAATCAAGCATTGATATTATTGGTTCACTTAAAGCAAGTACGGCCTGACTAATGTTTATATTTACCTCAGGCATCTAAATTTTGGAGCTCACTCGATCCACAGGCAACAAGAGCTTCGCATGCAACTTAGTTAAGCCATCTTGATACCTTTACTTTCATCATACACACCTTCCACGCAATTTTGAAAACAACGCCCGTATTACATCTTCGATAATTCAATCACCTCTACGTAATAAAGCCTCTCATAAACACTAGCGAACTCCTTGCGACATTCGAGATGGCTACCGACGGCGTTATGGAGCGCGAACGTGCGTTGAACACATTCAGGGAAAAGTTATTGGAGTCTAGAGAATGGGAGGCAAAGCTCAAGGCTTTACGGTTAGAAATTAAGGGATTGCAGAAGGACTTTGACCATACAGAGGACAATATCAAAGCCCTACAAAGTGTTGGACAAATTATCGGCGAGGTTTTGAAACAACTTGATGATGAGAGATGTGAGTAGGCCAGCGGTAATTCAAATCCAACATCACTAACATTAATATTCTAGTCATCGTCAAAGCATCATCTGGACCCAGATACGTTGTCGGCTGCAGGTCGAAAGTTGATAAGTTGAAGTTGAAGCAAGGAACCCGTGTAGCACTCGACATGACTACTCTCACAATTATGCGAATGTTACCTCGAGAAGTCGATCCACTTGTTTATAATATGTCTTTGGAAGATCCAGGACAAGTGAGCTTCGGTGGAATTGGTGGTTTGAATGAGCAGATTAGAGAATTGCGAGAAGTTATCGAACTGCCACTCAAAAATCCGGAATTGTTTTTGCGAGTTGGTATCAAGCCTCCGAAGGGTGTTTTGTTATATGGACCTCCAGGAACTGGAAAGACTTTGTTAGCGAGAGCTGTTGCCAGCAGTTTGGAGACAAACTTTTTAAAGGGTAGGAGTTTTGCTTGACATCATTTTCACAGTCATACTAATGTGATGTAGTTGTCTCATCTGCTATCGTCGATAAGTACATTGGAGAGTCTGCGCGTTTGATCAGAGAGATGTTTGGTTATGCAAAGGAACACGAGCCATGTATTATCTTCATGGATGAAATTGATGCCATTGGTGGACGTAGGTTTTCGGAGGGAACTTCGGCAGATCGTGAAATTCAGAGAACCTTGATGGAACTGTTGAATCAACTCGATGGTTTCGATTACTTGGGAAAGACAAAGATTATCATGGCTACTAACCGTCCAGATACCCTTGATCCTGCGCTCCTTAGAGCTGGTCGTCTCGACAGGAAGATCGAGATCCCTCTGCCAAATGAGGTCGGACGATTGGAAATTATGAAGATTCATGCTTCCAGCGTTGTTATTGATGGCGAGGTCGACTTTGAAAGTGTGGTAAAGATGAGTGATGGTTTGAACGGTGCAGATTTACGAAACGTTGTCACAGAAGCGTATGTATTCCTTCGGCACATTACACATAAGACTTTGCTAACTTTTCCAGTGGTTTATTTGCTATCAAGGATTACAGAGATGCCGTCAACCAGGACGATTTCAATAAAGCTGTTCGTAAAGTGGCAGAATCAAAGAAATTGGAAGGCAAGCTGGAATATCAAAAACTATGATTGTTACATAGATTTCGTTTTAGCATGGCGCATCGCATAATTGAGGGATGGTTGGGCATACCGCTCGACGTTGTAAGAATACCACATTAAAAAGAACTTCTCTGGAACTCCATGAACCTGTACAAACGGGACAGCTTGCCATGAAATAAAATTCTTTTTTCTAATTTCAATCAACCGTAATTCGAGTGCATCCATTTATTGCCCCCACAAAGCTATGTTCCATGCTCGCTTGAAAAGGGGCCTTCCTTATTAGGTTTTTAGGGTACGGTATATCTTCAACAATGGTTCCTGTGGGGTTGATTGGCGGGGAGTTTGAGGGTCAAAAAGGAAATCAATATATTGATTCGCCGAAAGAAAATCTACAATTACATAAAACCCAGATATAGATTACTGTAGCTTGAAGAAGAAGCGCGAAGCACACCATTTCTTGGACCGGCAAAAAGGAAACACATCTGCCCAGCTCACAATCCTGATGGCCGATTAGAGATGCGAATTTTGCATAAATGGCCAACAGTAATAGTGCCTCACACAACGTGAAGCCACTGTCCCGCAAAAGGAATGCGTGCAGGTCGCTGGCTCAGCTGGCGGTGATACGGTGTGATTTGGTGGATGGCCTGGTAACCCTAAAACGACGGGTTCTCCGGTTCTTCTTTGTTAGACTGATTCATGGTATTCACAATTGATTGAGCTCAGATTCAGTGGTTGAATTCGACTGTGAAATCCTCCGTTGATGTACTGTACCACTTATACGATATCGTGCCGATACTTACAACCTCTGCTTTCACCCCCCATACACATAGTACAGAGTTCAAGATTGTACGTCATGATGAAGCTTCAGTAGAGGAAATTTGTCTGGATAGAGTTATGCCCCCGCGACCCTAGGTACCTGATTAAGTCCCCTGTGCCTGGAGAACTTGAAATGTTGCTTTATTTAGATTAACAGGTGGGTCAATTGTGTGGCTTATACAGCTTTGGCAGAATGCTCCCCTGTTGAGCATCCTCAATAATTGGTACATGAACGAGGAAGAAGGTGGGAAAGAAGAAGAAACTGAAAAGTTTGAGGTCAAAATTGACAAGAAAAGGCGTATTGATACGGGTTCCAAGAGTGAGACTATTCGGGATTGGGTTGGTCAGGTAAGATTTCTTTTTGAAAAGTACGAGAGATACAGCCTCAAGGGTTCTTAATCCAGTTATTCAACACTAACATAGTAGTCACCTATTAGCATGTTTGAGATCCGCAGCAACAACCAATTGGCCCCGTATCATAGTAGCTAATAGATTCGTAAACACTTGTAAGTTGTTACCGTATTTTCTTTTCGTTAACAGGCTTGACAGGTTAAGAGGCAAAAGGCTGTGGGGGTGACAACGTGCACGTTTACATTCAGACGAAGAATATCCAACCCACCATTCTTCCCTCTTACTCCCCTTAAAACCATCCACATCCCTCAACGAAAGGAAAGGAAATCATACATCTCATTTTCATTCGTTTTCCTTTAATCTACAATCGTTCTTGCTTTCGATACCCTTTCTTGCACATCCTACCAATATCTAGATCCCAATAGAACACATCCCCTTTTATTGCAACAATGTGGTATGTATATATGCTTTGGAAAGGCCTGCTATCCTTCGAGGTCGAGGACGATAGAGATTTGACAATTTAACTGACCGTCTTCTCAGTGGAATCTTCGGATACATTAATTACTTGGTGGAGAAGGATAGAAAGTACATTCTTGACACACTTGTCAATGGTAAGATACACAAACTGCCCCTCCTTTTGACAGAGGTGTTGTATATACCGCCATTTCAACCAACAATACCTTTCAATACCCGCACACCTTTCATCAAATTTTTGGGATCTGCCAGTTAATCATTTGCAATCTACAGGTCTTTCGCGCCTTGAATACCGTGGTTACGATTCTGCTGGTCTCGCCATCGATGGAGACAAGAAGAATGAAGTCTTTGCATTCAAGGAGGTCGGCAAAGTTGCAAAGTTGAAGGCTCTCATCGAGCAGGAGAAGCCAGATCTCACCAAGGTCTTCGATTCCCACGCCGGTATTGCACACACCAGATGGGCTACTCACGGTCCTCCATCTCGTCTTAATTGCCATCCTCACAGGTACGTAAAGCTATTGTAAGGTGTTATACATTGCTGATGTGAGATTTGCAGATCTGACCCCTCCTGGCAATTCTCGGTTGTACACAATGGTATCATCACCAATTACAAGGAGTTGAAGACTCTGTTGACATCAAAGGGCTTCAAGTTTGAGACCGAGACCGACACAGAATGCATTGCCAAGCTTGCAAAATACCTTTACGACCAACACCCAACAATTGGTTTCACAGACTTGGCAAAGGCAGTTATCAAGGAATTGCAAGGTGCTTTTGGTCTTTTGATGAAGTCAGTACACTACCCACATGAGGTTATTGCTGCACGTAAGGGTTCGCCCTTGGTTATTGGTGTACGAACAGAGAAGCGCATGAAGGTTGATTTTGTTGACGTCGAGTACGCTGAGGATGGACCATTACCTGCCGAGAAAGCTTCACAAAACGCTGCATTGAAGAAATCCAGCGTTGGAAATTTCCTCTCCGCTAGCAATGCTCTTGCTCCAGCAGACAAGTCCTTGTTGCACAGATCCCAATCCCGTGCCTTCATGACTGATGATGGAGCTCCAATGCCAACCGAGTTTTTCCTTTCTTCAGATCCTTCCGCTATCGTCGAGCACACCAAGAAGGTCATGTACCTTGAAGATGATGATATCGCTCACATCCATGAGGGTTCCTTGAACATCCACAGACTCACCAAGGTTGATGGCTCATCCAATGTCCGCACAATTCAAACTCTTGAGTTGGAACTCCAAGAGATCATGAAGGGCAAATTCGATCATTTCATGCAAAAGGAGATTTTCGAACAACCAGAATCAGTCATCAACACAATGAGAGGACGCTTGGATGTCGAGAACAAGACAGTCACACTCGGTGGTTTGAGATCATACATCGCCACTATCCGACGTTGCAGAAGAATCATATTCATCGCTTGCGGTACTAGTTATCACTCCTGCATGGCGGTTCGTGGTGCTTTCGAAGAGCTGACCGAAATTCCAATTGCCGTCGAGCTGGCCTCGGATTTCCTCGATAGACAAGCACCCGTCTTCCGTGATGACACTTGTGTCTTCGTTTCTCAATCTGGTGAGACTGCCGATTCCTTGATGGCTCTACGATACTGCTTAGAGCGCGGTGCGTTGACCGTTGGTATTGTCAATGTTGTCGGTTCCTCCATCTCCCTCCTCACCCACTGTGGTGTCCACGTCAACGCCGGTCCCGAAATTGGTGTTGCTTCTACCAAGGCGTACACTTCTCAGTTCATTGCTATGATCATGTTTGCTCTGTCCTTGAGTGAAGATCGTTCCTCGAAACAGAAGAGACGCGAGGCCATTATGGATGGACTTGGAAAGATTTCGGGACAAATCAAGGAGGTCTTAGAGCTCGATCAACCAATCAAGGAGCTTTGTGCCAGAACCTTCAAGGATCAAAAGAGTTTGTTGCTCTTGGGTAGAGGTAGCCAATATTCCACCGCTTTGGAGGGTGCCCTCAAGATCAAGGAAATTTCTTACCTTCATTGCGAGGCTGTCATGTCTGGTGAACTTAAGCACGGTGTTTTGGCATTGGTTGATGAGAATTTGCCAATCATCATGATTCTTACTCGTGATGAGATTTTTGCTAAGTCTCTTAACGCTTATCAACAAGGTATGTTTACACCCCCCAAAAAGTTTTATCTACATAACTAATGCTAATGTCTATAGTCATTGCTCGTTCTGGCAAGCCGATTGTTATCTGCAACCCCGGAGATGAGGAATTCCAGACCAGTCAAGCCGAGAAGATTGAGATCCCAGCTACCATTGACTGCTTGCAAGGTCTCCTCAACGTTCTCCCACTCCAACTTATCTCCTACCACTTGGCTGTTGCCGGTGGTCTCAACGTCGATTTCCCAAGAAACTTGGCCAAGTCAGTTACCGTCGAGTAAATGTTTTTTTCGGTATGGCATAGCTATAAAAGGCTACTAAGCCCTATCGGTTTGGTGTTCTGCTGGACTCGGATGCATTGAAAGGAAGGAAATGATAGGCAAGAAGTCTAGCTACACATCTAAGTGTTGTGCTTCTTTATTTTTTTGCGTAGATATGAGATTTAGCGAATTGTGGGCACTAAAAACTCGGTTTGGGATCTTTTGATGGAGGGATGGTATGTGCTACTGTAGTTAGCTACTATTGCGATGAATGCAATGGATTCTCTTTAGATATCTACTTCTGCGAAAGCGTAGTTGCAATTTGCATAGGGAAGTCAATAGTCAGACAAGCTCTCTTTTTTCATAGACAGTGGAATGAAATACATTGTTGAGATATATGGCTTTTTGGTGCTACACGATATGATGCTTGTTACGACAGTTTTAAACGTTTAGCATGAATTACAGGGTGCCTGTCACAACCTTTGTAAGTTGAAGAGGTGCAAAATACAAAGGAATGAACTTTATGGAATTCCAAACGAATGAACAACTTAAAGGTATATTAACAATATCTATTTATGACTAGTAGGTATGATGCGTGATGTCCCCAATCAATCCTCGATTCCCCGCTGCCACAATATAGATAGCTCCAACATGCATGCTATTCCATAATCATTAAACGGGTACGAGAGCATCAAAAACGACTTTTCGCCCGCATGCCCAGCAGTTTCTCCTACCCTACCTCACCCAACGTATGTACAAGTAGAGGAAGAATTTAGTCAGAAAAGAGGCGGAAAGGTTAAAGAAAGACATAATACAAGGGTAAAACTATGCAGGAAAGGGTTGATCCCATCATCGACAAAATCGCTTAACCAGAATTCATTATTTGCCATTCTTCTTTGGGGTCTTGGATTTTGAGGTCTCGGGCTTTGATGTCTTGGATTTGGGGGATTTTGATTCTGGCGCCTTCATCTCGTGGGATTTAACGGGAGATTCGATTTTTGCCTCCAAATCCTCCGGATAGATGCTACCCTCGGCGTTGTCGAAGAGAGTTTGATCGCCCTTGCCACCCATCTCAATGAACTCATTTGGGTCCCGTTGAGCTGCTGGGACTTCTTCATTCTTGGTTCCGTTTTGTGTAGGGTCTTGTTGAGTTGAGGGCTGGTTGATACAATTAGACTTAGCATTTGGATTTTTGACGTATACCTTGACAGGGTGTTTGTCAGAGTTGATGTGAATGATCTTAGAAACCTTGACCTCGTTGATATCGCTGAGTAGTGTTCTCTCTCTTACGATCTTACGCTTGCTAAAGTCGAGACCTGCAAGTCCACCGACTAGACCGTCTGTGCTATCATGAACATTGAGAGTCTTCTGAGTCATCCATGGATGCGCCAAGCACTCATCAACGGTATAACGCTGCTCCGGGTCGACTGTCAACATGTGATCAATGAGATCCAATGCTGGATCCCCGATACTGTCCCAGTATGGAGAAGGATAGTCAAATCTACCGAGCTTGATCTGGGCTTTGAGGTCATACGGATTGTCCCTGGAATACAATTCATCGGAAAATGGTGGGAATCCACAGAGGCATATGTATAGAACAACTCCTAATGACCAAATATCAACTGCACGAGTGTATCTTCGATGGTTGTTGTCTTGGAGGATTTCCGGGGCTACGTAGCTTGGGGTACCACAAAGCGTTGTTGTAAAAGACGCCTCTCCAATGATTTTTGAGAGACCAAAGTCTGCAAGTTTTACATGCAATTCTTCATCTGTCATCAGAATATTCTCTGGTTTGATATCTCTGTGTACGATACCACGTTCATGCTTTTATTGATTGGTTAGCTAGAGGCAATGGAATGATGTTAGGACAAATACTCACCAAGTACTTCAAGCCTTCAAACAATTGAACGAAGACCTTTCTTGTTTCTTTTTCTGTGAGTTTACCCTTTTTGACAATCCAGTTAAATAATTCTCCTTCCGCTGCGAGCTCTAGGACGAGGTAAGTTGCGCCAGGTTCATCAAAAGTATCTTTTAAGCATAGAATGTTTGGATGACTGACGCCCATTAGTATTGCAATTTCTTGCTGCAAACCTTCAATTCTTTGTTTTTCTCCGACGCCGGGCTTTCTTGTAAAGACTTTGACAGCGAAGCGTTGACCTGTAGCCCTTTCGACGCATAAGTAAACCGTTGCATAATGTCCCGATCCAAGTTTTTCTAGAAGTAGGTATTTCTGCAAAAATTTGCTGGTTTCGCGCAACTTCGGGTATCGAAAGACAAATCTGACATCATCCACTACTTCTATTTCATCTCCATCTTCGAGTTGACGACGCTTGTTTCGTCCAATGATACTTTCTTTGACGAAGGTACCATTGCTTGATAGATCCTCAACAAATGCAACGTTTAGACCTGCTTGATTTTCGGTGAAAATGAGACAATGTCTATTGGAGACCCTGATATCATCGATGTTGAGATCTAGAAAAATTGTTAGTACCACACTTTTGTATCAGATTGTCTGGGCTTCACTTACCACACTCTGGATGTCGTCCGATCAAGTATCCTCCAGAAGCAATGCCTTTGAATTTAGTAGCTTCATAAGCTTCTTCTTCCTTATTTAAATCTTTGCCTTTACGAGGGTTCCCAAGATCACTATCCTTGTCTGGCAACGGACAAGCATTTCTTCTCCTCAAGACAAGACGTCTTCCATACTTGTAATTGAGAGGCATCAAGTATCCCCAAACACCTTCCTCTTCCTCATCTTCAACCTGACTTGACAATGTAGTTGCGTCTCTTTGTGATTGGCTCAATTCTTGAGTTTTTGCTTGCGAGTATCGAACGGGGGACGACAAAGCTTCGGGATCCTTAAGGAAACGTTCACTTGGTTCTGGAGTTCGGTGCTGGATCTGGCTTGGTCGACCCTCTGGTGGTGTTGCAGTGCCATCTCTTAGATTATCACTAGAAGATGAACCTTGATGGGTAACTGGGGAAGGAAGGTGCTGCTTATTCGAGATTGGAGTGTGACCCGGCTGTGAGTGTCTCTCTGATCGGCGCGGCTTTTTGTATGATTCGCTCTCTTCGATCGTTCCTACCTACGTTGAGATTATATGTCAGCCTTTTCGAAATTCAAAAACTATAAGGAAGGAGCGATTTTCCTACTCTATCGCGCTTTAAATTGCCTTTGCCTTTTTCTGAAGGCATCTTGACACAAATTGAAGGTCAGTTCGAGTTTTGATGCGATTTGAAGTACTGTATTTCGAAGAAAGTGTAAGAGTTAGAAGATTGAAGTGAGCGGAGGCGTTGGGATTCTGCAGATCTTGCAAGTGCTTTGATTTTTGATGAAAGTAATTGTGTAAGTAGCAATTCAAACCGATTATCAGTTTTTTTTGCGAGGAGTATATTATTTTCTTTTGATTAGGGAGTCGGAATTGATTGTTGGATTCATACTTTTCGATAGGTAATCAGAGGGACTAGGTACTCCGGATCTTCTCTATACCATACCAAGGATATGGGCTCGGCCGCTCGGGGTAGAATGGACTAGGGACCTTTACTGCCTAGAAGTGATAGAAAAATGTGTCGATCGTATCGATATATTCACATAAACCCCACCAACTGCAGAGGAGGTTCTACTTGAGTATTCACTTGTTATAAAGAGTATATTTTGTTTTTGTATTTGTGATATTATATGTGGTGAATTGGCAGTATCACAAAAGAGAATGTCCTCAAGGCAACAATCCACACGGGGAAAGGAGAGATCCGTGTATCGACTGATGTTGGCAATGAGATTAATGGTATTGCTATCAGTGCTCGTACCAGCTACTCACCTATCTCGTACAACTTCAACACTTTTGCTGTATGATCGAAAATGATCTACGAGTACAAAATAGCATAAACACCAGTGAGCTTCTACGCACGGGCAAACGTCATGATGGTTATGTATAAAATCACGGTTTCCCCATGTTGAGTGGAACTGAGACTAATATAATGAATGTGGATATAGTATAAATGTATGCCATATGGCCAGTGGGGGTGAAGATGTAAGCCACGAGTAAGATATTTTGAAGCGGAATTTAGGTCAGAGGGCTAGATTTTTTCCTATTTTTCGCCCTCACTACATTCAATATCATCGAGAGCCTCAATCCAAATTCTAATTTGAATCGTTTCCCTTCCATCTGGAGTTAGTCCAATACAATATCTCGTGATATATATGCTTGCTCGGGTCTTGTGAATACACGAGTAGTAAAAACAATATCAGAAGGAACCTCATGGGTCTGCTGGACTATTGTAAAACATGGGCTCTGAGTCTCTTGTCATCTGATGTCAACCAAGGCTCTCCACCCCGGGATCTTACGATGATGATGGAATCTCGAGTGTTCCGAGTGTCCCAAGGTCTTTCCTTAAATTGATCGCAAACCTCTTAAGTAAAGACTTAAAGTCGTACCAATCCTCAAGTCGAAGCTTGAAACGTCTTTGTGAAGTTTCGAACGGATCTTCGCCAATAGGCCGTGAATCTCAACTCTCGAATCTTGTCTTTCTCTTGACGCCTTGCGTGTTTGATGAATTGGACCTGCCCTTATCGAGTCCCGCCATGATTCGTTCGGCAGTACTTTTTTGTCCCTTTCCATTAATGCTACCAGTATTTGAAATCGCGCTGCGAGTTTCGCCCGATGCTGTTGCAGGTACGAAGTCCAGAGCTTCCCTTTGACCTCGAGCTTTCTTTTCTTCTCTTTCCTTCAAGATTTTTTGCTGGCTTTTCGCGAGTTCCTCCTTATGAGCATACTCTGGGAATCCGGCCGGATCCCATAGATCCTGAGGAAGCATTGTTGCATATTGTTCCGCCTCGTCAATATCCGCGAAGTCCATGAGCTTCTGCATCAAACTCGGATTTTTGAGCGCAGCTGACTTTGCGAGCTTTTCATTGAAATGTGTACCCTGCTTTTTAAGTTCGAGGAAATGCTTGAATTTCGCATTCGTACCGGCTACTGGTGAGCCTGGGGGTGAAGGGGGGATATCGTAATTAGGAACTGTCGGAAGGGTAAGATCTCGTAGCAAAGCTCGATTCGCGGAGTATGGTGACTGTGGTTCTCCATCCCGTTCCCCGTTCATGGCATCCTCTAATTCTGAGAAGCCAGTCGCCTCGACTGGTCCCAGTTGTGGTCCAACGAGTGGAGCGTTTGGTTTTGGATTGCTTGGTAGTTCAATAGTCCGTGAGGTTTCCGTAGATGGAAGCTCTTTCACATGTGGCTGCACATCTTCCAAGCAGTCAGAAGTGCTACAAATCAAAAATCTACCGTAAAGTTCGCATACCTTTTGCTGTGTCATTTGTAGGAGAATTGTAGGATATTAAATCTCCAGAAGTCTATAGCCTATGATGTCAGTGACTCTCACAAATTCCAATTGCATTAAATAAAACATTCAGCTTACGTTCGAAGAAGTCTGCGGGTTTTCAATCTGAAGTGAGTCCTCCTCATCGCTGCTTCCATAATCTACTAAACCTGCCATGGTTAATGTATTGCGAGTGGTTTCGATAAGGAAGGATCATTCAAATTCACCGGCACATAAGTGATAAAATAAACTTCTTGACTTTAGCTACCTACTAGGTACTGGTACTAGCTTTCCGTGCTCCAGATTGGTTCTCGGGGCTTACATCCCGATATTTGGCCTCAGGTTGCAGAAGGCGCGTCCCGAGCTCTGCCTGGAACAACGAGAGCTTGGGTTCCTCAAGCTCCAACACTATCCATAACTTTACCCCCATGAACATTTGAAGATACCACACCATACCTTAACAACCTTTCAATCCCAATAAACCCTCAAACATCATGAATCACCTTCCACAAGCTTGGGGCCGTGTAAGTATAAACATACTCTCAACATGAGTGACTTATATTCAGATTACTGACATTCAAATAGCCTAGAGACGATGTTTATGGCGCCTATGATGCTTCATATCTTCAACAAAATGGACCAAATCAACACACTCAATCACCCATCGTCACTGGTACATCGGTTGTGGCGTTAAAGTTTAAAGATGGTGTCGTAATCGCAGCAGATAACTTGGGTATAGTCTATAAACTATAAGCTCCAAATGCATCTCACTAACAATTCCAATAGCATCATATGGTTCTCTCGCACGATTCACAGACGTAAAACGTCTTCGAAAGTTCGCAGATACATCCGTTGTTGGATTTGGTGGCGATGTATCAGATATGCAATACCTGGACCGACTTCTCCAGTCCCTCGATACCGAAGAAGCTTACGGCGCATCAGGCCACACCCTCAACGCTCATAATCTCCACAAATACCTCTCCAAAGTCCTTTACAAGCGTCGATCCGATTTTAATCCTCTATGGAACACTTTACTGGTCGCAGGATTGGATGAACACGATAAACCTTTCTTGGCGAGCGCCGATTTATTGGGCACCACATTCTCTTCTCCAAGTTTGGCTACTGGATTCGGTGCGCATTTGGCCCAGCCGTTGTTAAGAAAGGTTGCACCAGATGAGGAAGCTGCTGCGAACTTGACCAAAGAAGTGGCTTTAGAGGCAGTTAAAGAGAGCATGAAGGTCTTGTTTTACAGAGATGCTAGGAGTATGGACAAGTATTCGATTGCGGTTATCACAAAGGAGGGTATCGATTTGAAGGAGAATGAAGAATTGGAGAAGCAAAGTTGGGCTTTCGGTAAGATTTCAAGTATTAAACACTCCGTGATAGTGTGCTAACAGTCAAATAGCTGAACAAATTCGGGGATACGGGACCCAGGTCAACTAAACGAATGATTTTAATATACCTTGCGCTGTAAACTAGACAATGATGAAATGAAGCATATCAAGTTTTGAGGTTCCTTGCCTCGTGGTTAACAAACACCATCCATCCCATCTCCAAGTTATTTTCTTAGTCATTTGAATATTGTTTTGATCTTTGGCTTTTCCATAGGTGCAAGATATTGTGTCAAATTTTGAAAGTTTAGGAAGTCAATTCTTGCCATGGTTTTGTGGAATCTCAAGGGTAGAGTCTCCAGACGTACTGTTGATGTATTTAGGTAGGTGCATTCAACCACCTCTTTCAGCCTCTCATGTTAGAATAGATGATGCTATGAAGTTGGTTCCGTGAAGCTCAAACGTCAACATTAACGAAGGGGCGTTCTACTACAAAGAAGGGGCGTAAATGCAGTTTTTCTACTCCTTAGGTTGCGCTCACACATATCTAGTTAGTAATCACCTAGAATTCTCAAATACTATAAGGCTATTGCTGTTTATATAGATAGATAGCTGTTTTCGAGAAGAATAGCGATCTCGCGTTATCTAAACAGCCAAGTAAAGTAACATGTGCATGTCCTAGCCCCACTTAGTTTCGACACTCCATGAATGTCACTCCTACCTTTTGATTGGTCAAAGCTATCCTCGCCAAAAGTGTAGGGAGAAACCGAAGCAAGAGGATGTACTTTCTGCTTTTTTATATAAAATGTGATGTTCTTATGGTAGGTTATTTACTTTTTTCAAGATGTTACTGTTCTTCAACTTTCTTAATCACTATATTTCCAAGAACAGAAGTTCTGTTTTCGATAGAGAAAATCTTCAAAGCGTTTAGTCCAATAAAAGTCTATTCAATATGACTAAAGTCCTCGCCTCTGAAGATATCGCCTCTCCAGAATCTATGAACAAGTTCCCAAAATCTTCCTCGGATGTCCCATCTCACTCTATAGACATTGAGAAGAACTCCCACCTCCAAGTACCACCCGAGCCTCGGGATGATTTCCAGACAGATCACCCAAAAACTTCCCTTTTCAAAAGTTTAGGGTGGCTTGATCGGCTCCTAGCTTTATGGATCTTTCTCGCTATGGCTATTGGTATCTTGCTGGGAAATTTCGTACCTAACGTCGGGACTGCATTGCAAAAGGGAGAGTTTGTGGGTGTTAGTGTGCCGATCGGTTCGTGCTTCTTTACTTCCTTCCTGGTTTATAGTGAAGTATAATGACAGAGCATCTTGACTTGAGCATCTAATCTGGAGGAAAGGTTAAGATGTACCAATTTGCTTTCCACGCTAATACAACAATGATAATATAGCTGTTTGTTTATTAGCAATGATGTATCCAATTCTTTGCAAGGTCAAATTCGAAACCTTGCATCTCGTCTTTCAGAAAAAGGATATCTGGGTTCAGATCGGATTTAGTCTGGTCGTTAATTGGATTGTTGCCCCATTGTTGATGGTACTTAAACCTTTCCTACCTACCTTTGACCCCGTCACAACATAGCTAACGAGAACTCACATACAGTTAGCTCTAGCATGGGCCTTCCTACCTGACAAAGAAGAGCTTCGATCTGGTCTGATACTTGTCGGAATAGCTCGCTGTATTGCCATGGTATTTCACCTTCCTCTTATTTCATGCTTAAAACTTAGTCGACTAATCCCTCTTAGGTCCTAATATGGACCGGCCTAGCCGGCGGCTCAACTTCCTACTGCGCTATCCTCGTGGCTATAAACAGTCTATTGCAAATGGTTCTCTTTGCCCCCTTTCCGTGCTTTTCATCTCCGTCATATCAGGCGCCGAAGGCCCTGCTGAGTTCTCCTACTCAACCATCGCCTCCAGCGTAGCAGTCTTCCTCGGCATTCCTCTCGCAGCCGCCATCCTTACACGTTTCCTCCTCCGCCGCCTCACATCTCCCTCCTGGTACGACACTGTTTTCCTCAAATACCTCTCGCCTCTCTCCCTGCTGGGTCTCTTGGCCACTATCTTGATCCTTTTCGCAAGTCAGGGTCAACATGTCATTCAGCAGATAGTTTCGGTTGTACGAGTTGCAGCCCCTCTCATTGTTTACTTTGCGATCATCTTCTTCTTAACTTTATTCGTGTGTGCGAGAATGGGATTCGGATATAAGGTTGCCACGACGCAAAGTTTCACGGCGGCAAGCAATAACTTCGAGCTGGCTATTGCTGTGGCTGTTGCGACGTATGGCGCGGATAGTGAACAGGCTTTAGCTGCTACAGTTGGCCCGTGTATGTATTCTGGATATGCCTCGTTGGGAAGATGCTTACTGATATTTTTCTATAGTGATTGAGGTGCCAGTGTTGCTGGGGTTGGTATATGTGGTAAGGTGGATTGGGGAGAGAAGGGGATGGAAAGATTAGAGTTTAGAGCGGAGTAGAAGTTAGGTGTACACGTGAAGAATTCAATTGAGAACATCACTTGCATTCTTTGGTGAGCTCAGGGGTGTATGAGGGAAGTAGTAGAAGGATTGCATGTCAAACCTTTCACAAAGTAATACATAATTCATGATCAGACGGTGGATAATATTGCATGCTTAGCTCCCGATAATCCTCAGGCATCAGGAATAATAGCCAAGTATCATCACTAATAATTATTTTCATTCCTCCCATATGCAGTACATATCGTCAGAGAATTACATGTACACATAATGACCACCAATATATAGCAACACGCCAAGCAATACACCTAGCAACTCCAACGCTAAGCAATCCGCTGCAAATTCCAAAAAGGAAGGACGTATGTATGATACTGGCACACTACAGATTCATTCATCGCTGTCGTCACTATCCACAATTCTCCGCTTGTTTCCTCTTCCCCTGATATCACCATCCCTCTTCCTCGTAAACATGTTCGGCGTCGCTTTCTTCCCACTACTCAATATACTACTGGATGGGAAATCTACACTTTTTTTAGTGACAGCATCACCTCTGACGAGATCCTCGATGGTAGGTAGGTCATCAGCGCTACTGTCTTGTGTCATCATAGGTACCGGTCTCTCAGAAGACAGATTCTTAGCTTTATCCCTCTCCACTGCCCTTCCCAACAATCCACCTTTTCCACTCTCCTTTTGTCTCTCATCTCCATCCCACTTCTCCATCTGTGGTGGGCTTGACGAAAAGTTGGACGTCCCTGTAAGGGTCATCTGGGTTTGGATTTGCGTAGGATCGATAAAATCAACCAGACTTCCCAGATCCGAATCGTCACTCGCTTCTAGATCTTCCATGTCACTGGTTCTGTCAACTCTTTCACCTGGCCCTTCTTCTTCGGAATCAGGTGTTGGTTGAGGAATTTGAGAAGAGCGGAGATTGGATACCATGGCCATGGATGCGGTACTATCTTCCGAGTCAGAATTCTCGTGTCGAGGAGGGCGGTTACGACTTGCTGGAGCCTTTTTGGATATGGCTTTTCTGGGTGCGGGTGTTTTCTTAGGCGCGGATGTGGTTTTGGTGACTTTAGAAAGCTTTGCAACTTGTGTGAGCTTTGGAGCTTTAGAGGCTTTAGGGACTCTAGCGAGTAGTTCCGCTTCTAATGGCATCGTTGGCATTTTACCGAGGTCAGATGGTGCTTCATCTCCGTATGGTTTGATATCACGGTTCGCAGGTGCTTGGGATCTCGAAAGCCTGCTGAATAGATCTACGCATTTTCTGGTGTATTTTCCGTGTGAAACCTTAGCTGTCATAGTTAGAGATCGTTGTGTGCTTGGCTGAGCTGTCAAATCGGGCATCTCGACCTCTTCCAAAGCACCATCTGGCACTCTTAAAAAACGGCGATCAAGCTCTGCCATATCTCTCTCACTTAGTAACACGGAGTCGAGTAAGGGCACTGGCGCTAGCTCATCATCATCTAGCTCATTAGGCTTTCGTTTGATGCCGAAGATTGCTGAAGTGGAGCCTGCAACACTGCCATTGAGTTTCGATGCGTTACGAAAACCCGTTTCAACACCATCAGGCATATGGAATTTTTTGGCAGGCTTCTTCTTAGCTTTGGCACGTCGTTTCGGTTCCGGCAAAGACGGATCTTGGGTATTTTCCGGAGGAATTTCAATAAAACGTTTTTCGACCTCAGGCTTAATGTCTCTCGGAATGATACGAGCAGATAAATCGTGGCGAAAAGTGAAGCGAGAACCAGAACTAATCATTCTTTGCATCTGCTCATAATTGTCCTTCGACTTCTTGTATGAATCTTCCTCCTTCCCGCGCATGAGAAGGAGAACAATCTTACCAGCTCTCTTTCTTCCTGTACGTCCCATTCGCTGCAGCATCCTAATAGGGGATGAAGAAGAGTCATAACAGACGATCAGGTCAACTTCTCCAATATCCAAACCCTCTTCACCGATACTGGTCGCAACTATAACATTTATGCCTCCTGCTTTAAATTTTCGAATGGTTTCAAGCTGTTTCTCCTGATTCATACCTTCTGAGCGCTTCGAGTCGCTTTGGCCCACAAAGACAGATGCTTTGATCATTGGGCCATGTTTGTTGAGTACCCGTGCTATATCTTCAGCACTATCACGGTATTCGGTGAAAACAATTACCCGAGTGCTTGAAGGTGGCATATTGCCACCCGTCAACCCAGCGCCCGCGTCAAGAAAGTGATTCAGCACTGTATCGCACAAATGAGTGAGCTTTGGGTGACCAATAAAGTCTTCCTTATTAATCCAACTTTGAATCCTATCCATCATCTTTTTAAAGTCTGGATCATTGACGACTTGATTTTTATATTTCCCACCCTTTTTGTTTCCCTCGACCTCTGCCCGGAAATCCTTGATATTCGAAAAGAAAGGCCCGATTCCATGGAAGTTGAGAATTTTTATTGCATGCCCCATACTCGTCAACACAGTGAACAAGGCATTCATCATTCCTTTGACGCCCATGTTTGCAGTCTTACCTGCACCAGATGCCATCCACGTCTTTCTGGCTGTAAGCATGCCAAACTGAGTGAGTGACATAGGATCCTTATTGTAATAGGCCTTCTGCGAGCATAACAAATTCACAAGCGGCTGAAGCGCTTTGCTAAAGAGGTCTCTAATCATAATGATTTCATCGGAAGGATCTATGAGAATCTCAGTGATATCTCGCCGATGAACGTACTCCTTAATGTCGATAGACTCTTCTGTTCGAATTTCAACCTCAGCAATCTCCAAATTATCGATTACCTCCTGAACTGCTTCCACGGTTGATCCAGGGGTGGCTGTCAAAGCAAGTACACGAAAACTCTTATTGAATCTTCGCAGAAACTCAACAACCTTAGTATATGCGTATTTGCCAGTTGCTCGATGTGCTTCGTCAACAACCAGAAGTGCGATCCTCTTAGGGTCAGCTATACCAGTTTTCAAATCATTTTCGACAGTCTGTGGCGTCATGAAAAACACTCTCTTTTCATCCCATTCTTCGGCTCTTAAAGCCGGGGTCTGATCTCCTGTCAGCATAGTCGTTGATGATCTCGGTATACCCGCAATCTCGAAGCAAGCTTTAACTTGCTGAGACACCAAAGGTTTTGTTGGCGCCATAAAAACTATTTGTGAATCTTTCGTCCACCGGAAGAAGTTGAGCATGATGGTCGCTGCGATAAATGTCTTCCCGAGACCTGTTGGTAAAGCGACCAAGAGATTGTTAAAAAGTCCTTTATGTACGATGGTGTATTGATATCGCCGTTCTGGGCCTAAATTGTTTGGATACACCCATGTTTTGATAGCCTTTCGGTCCAAAGAATGATGCGTCGGTGGTTCTGGGACCTTATCTACCAAATAATTATGCACTTTTTTAGCTTGAGTGGAAGATGGCGCCGGGTTTGGAGCACGACCACCAAAGAGTGTAGTTTGGTGAAGGCCATTCTGTGGTGCGACCAGTCGCTGAGAACGAAGTGATTGTGTAATTTCGAATGGCGGCGATGAGTTTATCGTAATCAAACCAGTTGATATGTCTTGTTGTGGCGGGCTTGGAGAGAAAGCATCGGACGGTAAATCCTCGAGCTCTTTGGAGAAATCATAGGCGACGGCTGGCGCGGGCTGGGGAACAATATTCTGTTTCTGGGCTTTGGTAGGCCGGAACACAGAAGCCAATGCTGGTGTGGGCTTGGGCTCTAATTCTGGTGATAGGAGCGGTCTCGGCCTTTTATATATAGGTCCTCTAATTCTATAAGGACTCGAATCAGGCATTCCATCCGCTTGTGTCGCCCCCATGATGACTGCTGCCGGTACTTCTTCTGCCCCGAGATGTATCCTGTATTTCGACTGCTTTTTCTCGTCTCCTTCATCGTGGTCGCTAGATGTAGAGCCTTGCGGTCGTTGCTGAATTGAGAAATCATCATCATTGTAATCGTCGAGCTCTTGGCCTGAGCTGATTCGCCTTCGTTTTCTGCGATGAGGGGAATTGGATGGTAGAGTTTGCGACGCTTGAGTCAATGCTTCGGCTACATCCCAAACATCTTCGTCGATATCTCCATATTCATCATCCGACATCTCTGTCAAGTTTGAGGTGTTTCCTTGGTGTGTTGGATGGAGCCATGAGAAAGCTGTCGCGATTATCGAAATGGCCAAATCGCGTTCCTTATCGCACGCTGATTGGGGAAAGCAAAATCACGTTAACACGTGACGACGTACACTGAAGCGATATTTTGGTGGTTTGGCATGCCGTACAAAATTCGCTTTAATTGCAGTTAATCCGAGTTTCTCTTTCATTCAAAAGACTTCAACATAAAGATAAATATCAAGCTTTGTGATTCAACTTCGTTACGTGAACAATATCTAATACCAATATTCTAATTTCAGTGCAATAGAGTGATATTAACGTAGTGCAAAATGAGGGATTTTGAGGGTTGAGTTATTTCAGATACCTGTGAATATCTACCAATCAACATTCAAGAGTGCCAAATCGGTATTCCAAAAATGGTCAATGAAAATACCAACAAAATGATTTCTACTCTGAAAGACCTATATTCTTCGCGGTTTTGTTATGACGCCATATTACAGGTATTGAATCACCGGAGCATTTTTGAGGACACGGAATAACTATGACACCTAAGTCTGAAAAGACCATCCTCGAAGCCTCCATAAGCAGCTACATAAAAGTACTAATTATGCTGGATCTAGAAAGTTTTATGAGTAGCTCGCTCATACAAGAGAAGTATAAGCTAGTGTCATAGCCGAAATTGTTTTACTTGATACTCCATACTAGATTCGCCCTTTTTATAGAGAAGGAAAAGATTTACAGAGGTTTGTGATTTTATATAATAAAGTAATACAAGAACTGGATACCAAAACTCTAGAAGATTTTTTGTATTATTAAAAGGGGTTGTCAAATTTGTATTAAAATACAACAACTGGAAGAATGTAATTAACGCAAAATAGCATATAATTTCG